TCAATCCCCAGACATGGCTTTCTCAGGGAGGTAGTACATTTCCTTCTTAAGGTACTTCTTCTGGGTGAGGAGCACTGGCGGCTTGACAAGGATCACGTCCTCACCCTCTGAGAGAACCATTTTGGCATTCAAAAATGCCGTGCGCACATCTAAAACTGATGCGCTCCATTGGAAGAGAGCTGCGCACCAAACCAAGATTCTAAGTGCTGCTGCATCAGCACCTGAGCTGAAGTTGTCTTCATCTTCGTTTCGAGGCTCTAAGTTGCCGCAGGCTACCCACCTCTTCTTTTTTTGGCCTCCATCAGGGCCTGGTTTCCGGGTGAAGACCAGTTTGGATGGGATGTATTCAATCCCTTTTCCAGCTTTCTCAGCTTCTTGTTGTAGTTGAGCAAGTTCATGAGGGCCAATTTCACGGAAGGCCTGCTTTTCGTAGAGAAGAGATTCAACCTCGCTTTTGACTGCTGGAAGCCATTGTTGCCAGTGATCTGAAACTTCCTTTGACGACACAATTCGTGTCTGCAAGATTTCCTCCTCCTCATTTGGCATAGGCGCCATCTTTCGGATTTTGGCCAAGATTTCAAGCTCTCAGGGTCGTCATCGGCCATGTGACACATCTCCTTCTCTATCAGGCGGAGCATGCAAACTCTCCGCTTTTTCTCCTCTCTTTCTTCTGTATCCTCTCCATCCTTCTCTTGAAGCTTTCTTATCGCTGATTTCCCCCTCCATTCTTCTTCGGACAACCAAGGCATCCACAGACTCTCGCTCCAGAGCAACCCAACCTTCTTCAGCTAAAGGGAGATGTGCTGCTTTCATGATGAGTTTTGTGATTCGTGGTGCTTCGTCCTTTGGAAGGTTCCAATGTCCATGTTCGGACAGAGATACTTGACAGTTTCTGTGGAAACTTCAAAGGTTCCCCTTCTCCACTTTCGCTTTCTGACCATGACCTCGGAGAGAACAGGAGGCCAATCAGGGCTCTTTGCAAGTCTGGCAGCTCGCGGTTCAGCTCGTTGACGTGTCGCGTTGCCCATGGCCACCAAGTTGGAGCTGCTTGTGCTTGAAGCAGGATCCTTCTGATTTGTTCTTTTAATGGACTTCACTTCACCGCTGTCTCGGCTCGTCCATTGGCTCTTGGATCACCTCCTGGGTCCTCGTCAAAAGAATTCCTCTTTCTCTGCGCCATCTTTTGAAGTTCCCTTGGAACTCAAATTCGTGGCCTTGGTCACTGAATGTGGCCGATGTGATACCTGTCAGCTCGTAGACGCAACATCATGTCCATCACCACACGAGTGACTTCAGTGGCTTTCTTTGAGAACATAGGAGCTGCAAGGCGAAAAACTCGCGTCTCGAACTCCTCTTTCTTTTCTGCCTCACCTTCTTTCTCCTCAGGTCTTGGCTCGCCTTCTTCCTTTGGAACTTCTTCCTCACCATCTGGGGCCCTTTGACACTCCTCTTCTTCTGGAACTTCGTCATCAAAGATTCCCTGAGGTTCTTCTGGTGGTTGATCAGGCTGATCTTCACTTGGAATCACTTCTTCGTCTTTTCTGGCTTCAAAGTTTGGTGCTTCACCTTCTGGCTCTGGCACTTCCTCCTCTCGCAGTGTGGAGTCTTTTGGCACAGTCCAAGTGAGAGCGCCGACCAAGATGTATGCAACCTTGTAGCCACCTGCATCGTAGGCTCTGGTGAATGGTCCTGTAGTGTCAATTGACAGGACTGCTCCAAGAGGGTGCTTCACCTTTCTGTGAGGCGGCTGTTTCTGTAGAGATTGTTGACACACCAGGCAATTTCGCCTAAAGGGAATGTGTCCATGTCCTAGATGCTCTTCCCATGACGACGAGATTCTTGGCTGCCGGTTGACAATCTGGGTCAAAAGCGCTTCGGCCACCATGTTCATCACACCTGGTGCCCACCTTGACAAGTCAGATGAGGATTTGATCGCAGTAGAGGATGTCTTCTTCATTCGATGTTCTTCTGGGTTCAGCTCCAATTTTCCTGCCGTATATAGTTGGTTTTGTGGCTGCACCGCCATGATGTCCTTGACAGAAGGTGGCCTCGGAGAACCCAAACTCCTCCATCAACTTCAGCCATTCGGTGGTGTCCCAGAAAGAGACACACTGTGGCATGTAGTGCTTTGGTGACGCAGGCTGCTCCAGAAGAAAACCAACTGGCCTTTGAACTTGTCGAGCTTGTCGTAGATATGTTGCAATCATCCACAAAAAGATGAATCTCCACATGAGGATATCGTCCTCTTCAACCTGGGCTTTTTCGGCTGGGTTTAAATCAGCCAGTCCATGTTCTTCTCCTTCCCACGCCGTAACTGGTTGCGGAGCGTTCTCCCTTGGGTAGCGTCGGAGAACTGATCTGGTTCTGCAGTTTGGACCAGCGATGAATGCACCAACTCTATCTTGTAGGACTGCTCGAAGAAGCCACGCATAGACACCACTGTCCAGCAACATGTTGTGACCTCCTCTCTTCAAGTCGATCTCCAAGAGGTGAGTCTCGTTGCCACCTTGCTGCTTCCAGGCTCTTGACAAGGTGAACCCTTCAGATTCTCCCGCATGGAGGTGCACAAGAAAGCCGTCTCTTTGCAAACGCTTTCGTTGGCACCGATTGACAGGCAAGTCCTTCCATTCTCCGATGTCAGTGACCAGTCGGCTTTTGATTCGTTGTGGAAGGCTTCGTAGAACTGGATGACTCTGCGCCAAGTCTTCCATCCACTTCTTCTCCTTCTGAAAGCTTACGCTCTTCATCCTCCTTTGAACTCCTGCTGTCTCCATCACTTCTATCAGATCCAAAGCCAAAGTCCTTGGAAGTTGTGGGATCCATCTCGGTTTTGAACTGAAAGTGGACCATGTTGCGGATGGATGACGTTTAGGGTTCCATCAGCCAATTTGACCTGGGATCATCCCAAGTCTTGGACTAGTTGCCCCATAGGCAAGATTGGCTTGACATCATGCCGATCTGTGACCATGATGCCACCTGGACCTGGAGTCACCTGCAGTGATGTAGCTTCGCCATTTGCCAAAGTCACAGAAACTCTTTTGTAGGCCGCGTCACATTCACCAGGCCTGCCTTCTGTATAGGACGTAGAGGATGTGTGGCACCTGAGTCGATCAAGCCTTGATGTTGGCCATGTGAGATCTGGTTGATCTTGAACACCTTGAACTTCAGCTGATTCAGCTGCTGTTGAAGTCGATCCATCGCCTCGTCCTTGGTCTCGGTGGCACCTGCAGCAGTGCTTGAAGATGTAGATGAAGTGGACGATGTCAATGACGTGAGCATGGTGTTCGCCTGTTCCAGCAATTCCTTCATGGATGCAGTCTCACTTGACATCTCCTCTTCTTTTCCGTTCGTAGAGCTCGTAGGTGAAGAAGTCTCCTCCCCCTGGGCCTTCTGAATCTTTGGCTTCTGTGGCGATTGATCATTTCTGTCCTTTGGACGTGGACAGGCTGGTGACATGTGGTCTGGACATTCACAATTCCGGCACCTTCTTTTATCGTCTTTTTGGTCATGAGACCAGCTGCATGTTTTGCTTCTTCTGCATCCTTGATCTGTCAGAAAAAATACTTTACTTCGTGTGATCCCCACCATGACATTTATACATTTTCTTACTGGCAAATCTTCTGGCATTCTATCTGACATATCTTCTGACATTCTATTTGGCATTCTATCTGGCATATCTTCTGGCATATGATCTGGCATATCTTCTGGCATATCTTCTGGCATTCTATCTGGCAAATCTTCTGGCATTCTATCTGGCATATCTTCTGGCACTCTATCTGACATATCTTCTGGCATTCTATCTGGCATATCTTCTGGCATATATTCTATATTTCTGGCATTCTATCTGACATATCTTCTGGCATTCTGACATATCTGGCATATCTTCTGGCATATCTTCTGGCATATCTGGCATTCTATCTGGCATATCTTCTGGCATATTTTCTGGCATTCTATCTGGCAAATCTTCTGGCATTCTATCTGGCATTCTATCTGGCATATCTTCTGGCATATTATCTGGCATTCTATCTGGCATATCTTCTGGCATATCTTCTGGCATATCTTCTGACATTCTTTCTGACATTCTTTCTAACTTTCTTCTGCACATCTCTTTGTCCCATATCTTCCTACATGAGGTCCGGCAGGGAACACTTGGCGTGGATACTCGCGGTTGAGGTCCGGCAGGGAACACTGGGCGTGGATGGTCGTGGTTGAGGTCCGGCAGGGAACACTGGGCGAGGATGGTCGTGGTTGAGGTCCGGCAGGGAACATTGGGCGTGGATGGTCGTGGTTGAGGTCCGGCAGGGAACACTGGGCGTGGATGGTCGTGGTTGAGGTCCGGCAGAGAACACTGTGGATCGCGGGTCGCAGTTGAGCAAGGACGACGAGGACGATGAGGACGACGAGGAGGACGAGGAGGAGGAGGAGAGGAGGACGAGGCAGGAGGAGGCGGAGGAGGAGGAGGAGAAGGAGGAGGAGGAGAAGGAGGAGAAGGAGGAGGAGGAGGAGGCAACTGACATAAAATCTAACAACCCTCACCTGGCAGGTGGGGAACTTGCACTTCCCCTTCTCCTCCTTCGACTCCCGCTTTGTTGATGATCTGCCTTCTGCCTCAAGCTTCTTCAGTTTGGACACCTTCGCCTTCTCGGGCTCGGTTCGTTTCTTTGAAGCATTGGGGGTTTCCTGATGCACCACCTGCTCAAACTCTGCAACCAAGTGGAGCGCAAAGGAAGTCACCGAAGTCGAAGTTGGAGTGGAGTCGACCATCGACCTTGCCAAGCTGATCCTGAAACTAAGGTCTCTGTTGGCTTCCAAGGGCTTGCGGACGATCCTGTTGAGGCCCTTCAAGAGCAAAAACGGGTCAGGTTCTGAGATCTGAAGATCTCCTCCTCGTCTCCTCCATCGAGACCATCTGCGAAGGCTTTGCACGGCCTCCACAAGGTTGGCTGACTCCGGAGGAAGCTCAAGTGACTTCAGGATCAACTCTTTCTCCGCAAGACCACCTGGTTGGTAGGTGACAAGGAGCTGGCATACGATGGACATTGCACTCAATCTTTTCGCTGGGATAAGTTCTTCTCGTTGGCCTTCTGGTACTGTCATCAACAGCAGCGTTGAAGCTCGACGTTCGAGCCTTGCCCATCACTCCACTCTGCAAGGGCTGGAAGTGCTGGGGCTTGTCGGACTGATTCAGTCCCTGTTTCTTCATCTCGATGCTCCAGCATTTGACGTTGAATGGCCTGCATGCCCTCCATGAGCTTTTCACCGTCTTGGGCTCTTCATCCATTCCTGTCTTTGGGGGCCTATCAGCTTCCTTTTGATCTGCGGTCTTTGATCTTTGGCGGCTGTAGGCTTTGGGGGTCTCTCAGCATCCTGGGGGGGTCTCAGCCTCCTTGGTGCTTTGGTGGATGTGCTGGCTTGCGTTTGGTGGTCTATCAGACTCCTGCAAGGTCTCAGCCTCCCTTATGTGGTGGGGATGCAACTGACTTCCCTTTGGTGGTCTATCAGCCTCCTGCGGGTCTCAGCCTCCTTTAAATGGTCCCTATTTGGTGTGGAAAATTTCGGGTCCTCTTCAGATTGGGACGACTGCGCCTTCTCAAGACGTTCAATCTTTTCTTTCAATCTTCTATTCTCTTCCATCATTTCTTCTATCCCCTTTTGCAATTCTCTTGAACCCCTACCGCTGGTGTGTACGTGTAATTACACATATTGCGAACCCACCCCAACAGTTTCTTGCATCCTACCTTCATCTTGTTCAAGAAAAAGTGGTATTGAAAGGGGGGGTGGACTGGCTGGCTGGTGGAATCCCATGTGACCACCTGGATACAGCCAAGGAGCTTGATTGAAAAGATCTTGAAACTTGCGAAGTTGTTGATCGGCAAAAAGTGGTTGCTGCGGCGGAGAGGCACCAGATTGAGTTCCAGGCGTCAGCATAGGCATGGGAACTTGTTGCCTTTGGCCAGAAACATCTGGTGCTCGTTGAAGATCAGTTGGCCCTCCATTATCAGCCTTCTGGGAGTCTGCCGCAATCACTTTAGTCGCAGCCGGAACAAATGCTTCTTGTCGTACAGCTACAACTCCTTGGGGTTCACTTCGTGCCTCAAGAGTCTGCGCTGGTGACTTGCTGGCGTGGCAGGAGATTTTTCCTGTCCTGGAACGGCTGGCACAAGGGATTTCGGGGAACTTCTACTTAAGAGTCGCCGGACAACTTAGGCACTTAGCTGGCACTTAGCTGGCACTTAGGTTTTGGTCTCGCTAAGTGTGAGCTAAGTGACCGCTAAGTGAAGCTAACTGTTTGATATGTTTTTTTCTTGTTTTTATCATGTGTTACTTTTTGTGGGAATTTAAGGTTTTTTTGTTGCAACATCAGAGTCAGATTTGCTGATTTTTATCCGCCGTCGATGCGTTTGTTGCTAGCGCAGCAGCCAGAGACCGTTTTGGTCTTCACGCAGCAAGCGCATGGGTTCAGTTAGCAGCAACTTGGTTGCTGCAAGGACGTGCCTCTGCTTTGGGAGGCGTTCCCATTTGATAATGGAAAGTTCGGAGATGCGTGGTTGCAAGGGCTGCACCACTACAGAAAGAGAATCGTCCTGCAGAAGGCCACAGACAACTTCGATGCAGCACTTGGCTGCGACTTGCACAAAGGTACCGCGTGAGTACTCCACACAATGGATTTGAATGCCTTTGGCAAAGACAACGATATGAGGCAGCCCCAGTCGTGCGTGGACTTGCCCACCAGTCGGCCGCTATACTCACTTTCCGGATGACTCGTAGTCAATTCGATTTCTGTTAATTGCAAAAGGGTGCTTCGAGAAAAGCAACCCAATCGCGAAAGGCGCGGTGCTACTATGGATTTAAACACACGATGCTTGCGCTCCCCTACAAAGCAATCGATGTGTCGACGATATTTTTGAATTTGGGCTTGGAGGTGTAATGAGTAGTGGAATTTGGGTCTTGCCCCTGCGATCGCCGCGTAGGCGACATCCCACTTTTGCTTGTATTTTTGGATGCTTTCATTCAAGTGCGTTGCATCTCGTGGATGCAATTTTGTTCGTTGCAGCAGGCAGGTGACATCGACTAATGCCCACAAGGCGCTGCAATCATTGCCTCTTGTCCTGCCAACATTTCCCTCGCGAATGCTGCCACTAAAGGCAACGCCTGTAGCGTCGTATCGGCATCACCTCGGAAATCCGCTCCCTCACGGAAAAGTTTTTCATTGACACATTCTTGGGGACTTGGTCCACTCAACAGGGTTGTCCACCCGATGCTTGCCCATCTTTGGAGAAAGCGAGACTCCATTCCCAATTGTTTCAACATTGAGTACCAGAGGCCTATGTCCTGCCCCACTAGACCGTTTGACCAGAATTGGTGCATGGAGTCCAGATACAGACACTCAAGCGACACCCAGTCTGACAGGGAAGGGGATGTAAGTATCCCTTTTACAACGGTAGACAAAGACCAACCCAACAGTTTTTCAGCCTTTTGTAAGGCTTTTTTCCCGAGAGCGTCTGCGCGCAGGGTTCTTCCAATAGTGGGGGTCTGTATCTCATCTTCTCATCTTCACACCTTCACATCTTCACACCTTCTCCTCTTCACACCTTCTCCTCTTCACACCTTCTCTCACACCTTCTCATCTTCACACCCTCTCTCAGACCTTCTCATCTTCACATCTGCTCATCTTCACATCTTCTCATCTTCACATCTTCTCATCTTCACATCTTCTCATCTTCACATCTTCTCATCTTCACATCTGCTCATCTTCACATCTGCTCATCTTCACATCTTCTCTCACATCTTCTCTCACATCTGCTCATCTTCACATCTGCTCATCTTCACATCTTCTCTCACATCTGCTCATCTTCATATCTTCTCTCACATCTGCTCATCTTCACATCTTCTCTTCACATCTGCTCATCTTCACATCTTCTCTCACATCTGCTCATCTTCACATCTGCTCATCTTCACATCTTCTCTCCTTTCTCTCTCCCTTTTCTTTCTCTCTTTAGGCCGAGGGTGGTGCCGGCGGGGAGTCACGAAACGTGAACCCTTTCGCACGAAATGAGGGTCGATCGTCAAAAACTGAAGTAAAATTGCGATTTTACTTGTGCTGGAGCAACCCTTTCGCACGAAATGAGGGTCGATCGTCAAAAACTGAGGTAAAATTGCGATTTTACTTGTGCCGGAGCAACCCTTTCGCACGAAATGAAGGTCGATCGTCAAAAACTGAGGTAAAATTGCGATTTTACTTGTGCCGGAGCAACCCTTTCGCACGAAATGGGGCTCGATCGGCAAAAACTGAGGTAAAATTGCGATTTGTGCCGGAGCAACCCTTTCGCACGAAATGAGGGTTGATCGCCAAAAACTTAGGTAAAATTGCGATTTTACTTGTCCCGGAGCAACCCTTTCGCACGAAATGAAGGTCGATCTTCAAAAACTGAGGTAAAATTGTGATTTTACGCGTGCTGGAGCAACCCTTTCGCACGAAATGAGGGTCGATCGCCAAAACCTGAAGTAAAATTGCGATTTTACTTGTGCCGGAGCAACCCTTTCGCACGAAATGAGGGTCGATCGGCAAAAACTGAGGTAAAATTGCAATTTTATTTGCCCCCGAGCAACCCTTTTGCACGAAATGAGGGTCGATGCGCAAAAACTGAGGTAAAATTGTGATTTTACTTGTGCCGGACGTGTCTGTGTGTAAAAGCGTCTGTGTGTAAAAGCTTCTGTGTGTAAAAGCGTCTGTCTGTGTAAAAGTGATTGTGTGTAAAAGCGCTTGTGTGTAAAAGTTTCTGTGTGTAAAAGTGTCTATGTGTAAAAGCTTCTGTGTGTAAAAGCTTTTGTGTGTAAAAGTGTTTGCGTGTAAACGCTTCTGTGTGTAAAAGCTCCTGTGTGTAAAAGGGTCTTTGTTAAAAGTGTCTGTGTGTAAAAGCGTCTGTGTGTAAGAGTGTCTGTGTGTAAAAGCGTCTGTGTAAAAGCGTCTGTGTGTAAAAGCTTCTGTCTGTAAAAGTTTCTGTGGGTAAAAGCTTTGTGTGTAAAAGCGTCTGTGTAAAAGCGTCTGTGTGTAAAAGTGTCTGTGTGTAAAACCGTCCGTGTGTACAAGCGTCTGTGTGTAAAAGGGTCTGTGTGTGAAAGTGTCTGTCTGTAAAAGCTTCTGTATGTGAAAGCTTTTGTGTGTAAAAGCTGCTGTGTGTAAAAGCTTCTGTGTGTAAAAGCTTTTGTGTGTAAAAGCGTCTGTGTGTAAAAGTCTTTGTGTGTAAATGGGTTTGTGTGTAAGAGTGTTTCTGTGTAAAGATGTTTGTGTGTAAAAGTGTTTGTGTGTAAAAGTGAATCTGTGTAAAAGGGTTTGTGTGTAAAAGTGTCTATGTGTAAAAGCTTCTGTGTGTAAAAGTCTTTGTGTGTAAACGGGTTTGTGTGTAAGAGTGCTTCTGTGTAAAGATGTTTGTGTGTAAAAGTGTTTGTGTGTAAAAGTGAATCTGTGTAAAAGTGTCTGTGTGTAAAGGCTTCTGTGTGTAAAAGTGTTTCTGTGTAAACGGGTTTGTGTGTAAGTGTGTTTCTGTGTAAAGATGTTTGTATGTAAAAGTGTTTGTGTGTAAAAGTGCATCTGTGTAAAAGGATTTGTGTGTAAAAGCTTTTGTGTGTAAAAGTGTCTGTGTGTAAAAGGGTTTGTGTGTTAAAGCGTCTCGGTGTAAAATGGTGTGAGTGCAGAAGGGTTTTTGTGTAAAAAAGGTGTTTCTGTGTGACAGCGGCAATGTGTGTGTAAAAGCGGCTTTGCTTACAAGTTTTGTTTTCTTGCCCTGTTGATTGTTTGGCATGTTTGTTTTCCGGTCACCCCTGTCATGTTTGGGTCTTGCTGGCAAGTTTTAAGCAATCTTGAGTTGTTTGCTTGGCATGTTCGTAGGAATGCTTAAGCAGACATGGCAGTCATTCGATGTTTTGCAGCTAGTTTTTGGTTGCCCGTCTTCGGAGTGAGAGAGAGAGAGAGAGAGATATATATATATATATATATTCACCTATCACTCTTGAATTGTCCTCAATGTAAGTGAATGACCGTTGAAACGGCTGCTCAAGAAATCGTTCGGTGATTTGTCTTATGTTGATGGGCGACCTCGGATCGGTGTATTATCAGGTGGCTTCAATTATTTCCCAGGTGTTGCTGTGGAGTCGAGGCCCACCATCTGTTGTTTGTGATTGTCATTGCGACGAGCGTGAGTCCAATCAGTTGGAGAATTGCAATCAGATGGTGAGGGATTTGATTTCTGCTTGTTTAGAGGGACCCTCAAGTTCAGTGACAAGTACTACTACTGTAGCCTTGCGTAAGAGTTGGGATTTCGGCTGGCTCTGGCTGCTAGTGATAGTATTTCTGATTGGGTGGCTCCTTGGCAGATCCAATTGCGAACATCGACAGAAGCATCAAGCACTCACAGCTCCTGCATTGGTCAGTTCTGGTTCTGAGGGCAGTTCACCTCGACCACGTCGAGGGGTGGCTGCTTGATAGATAATGGCTGGTGTTGTGCAGAGAACCTTAGACATTCCGGAAATGCAGATGATGGTGGAGTTCCCGGGAGATCCGGGGGGTCTGGATTATCATCATCGGATTTTCTGGTATCGTGTAGACAGAGCCACATGGATAGTGTCAACGCCAGATTATGATGTTTATGAGGACTATGATCAGATGACGGTGATTCCCCTACCACGCAATGGCAATTATCCTGCTGGATATGCCGGACAGATGTATATCCCTGACAATGGCGCACTCATGCAGGAGTATGCTGAGATGAAGAGACAGGCTGAGGCATTGGCCGTTGTTCGGGGTTGCACTGACAGACCTGGTGCCCCAGTGGGTGAAGTTGCAGTGGCGGGCCAATGGAGGGTCGCTGATGTTGATTCGAAGATGTTTGGTGACATCATTCCCAATTCAGACTTGAGTGATGCTGCCAACAATGTCATCCTCTCTCATGCTGGTGTGTCCAAGAGGCTTCATGTCAAGGATGGGAATATCTTCACTCTGGAGCTTGTGACTGATTTTGATCGGTGGAAGGAGTTGAAGCGACCCGGTTTGCCTGGTGGTGATGCAGGAGATTTACGACTTTTGAGCTGCACAAGGCTTGCTTCTGGGAAGAGACAGTTGGGGTTGTCGAAAGCCCTAGAACTCATGACAGATACGAAATTTGAGGATTGGCCACACCGAGGGCCAAAGTCGTGTCGAGAGTTCCTGGAATCAGTCAGTGAGCATGGCGGAGATCTGACAACATACCATGCGTCTTTTCTGAGGAAGTCAGGTTTGTCAGACAACAGTGCAGCAGCCCACGAGTACAAAAACCTCCTCTCCGTCCTCCGCTATGCCTTGTCCTATGATCAGCTCGATGTGAGCAATCTAGCAAGCATTGAACAGGTGACTCGAAGGATCCTTGAGATTCAAGTTGCTGTGCGTCGGAATCCTCGTCATCCAACCTTTGACGCGTTTGACTATGCAGCCAGGGGATCCATTGACGAGGTAGGCGGTGCCAGGGCCACGACTTACAATGAGTGGATGGCCGAACAGCAGAAGATTGAGGCGAAGACTTTGAAGTCAACCAGGGAATGGCGTGAGGAACAGAATGCAGAGCGACGCAGGGCAAATCGCACTCATGAGGCAGATGACGAAGACGACGATGAGGCAGATCCCAGCAAGAAGAAGAAGACCAAGAAGAAGAAGAAGGGCGGCGCCCCCTCAGGCGCAGCCGCTACATGAGCTTGGGATCAGGCCGCTTTCGGGGGGGCGGCATTGCAAATGCCCCCGACACCTTGCAGGCGAATTCACCTCACCATGGCCGAGTACAGAACGAGTTGTTTCCTCTGCCGGTGCCGAGATGGCGTCATCAGGGGAGTCGATCGGCCATGGCCTTGTCTGGAGTGATTGATGGTGGGGAGGCCTTTGGACGTCGCATGACTGGGAGGTTAGCCGAAACAGTGACCTCTTTGAATTCATTGGGGCTTTCAACCACTGAGATCACTAGACGAGGTTCTTTTGTTTTTTCAGGGCAGCAGATTGGCGACAGGCCGACCTCACTGCAGTCCTCAATCCTGCGAAGACTGGCTGAGAAACTGCAGATCTATGGCACCTGTCCCGCCGAGATGACACCGAAGTCGGCGCTGGAGGATGTGCTGAAGAGCAAGGATCTTTATTCACTTGAATCCAGTGCTGTTGCACCTTATGACCTGAACCTGCTGAAGGTTGCCAAGACTGACACCATCCCGAAGCCTGCCATCCAACTTCTGCCAGAACGTGAAGCTGACATGCTGAGCAACCCTGATCTTCACATCGTGCGCTCTGAGTCCGAGATCAAGCGCTGGATGCAGGACAATGCTGATTTCCAGCCGTACTGGGACAAGACACTTCGAGAGGACAGGGCGGCGCGGCTTGGGCTTTATCGGAAGTTGGCTGACAAAGGGTTGTTGGGGTTCAGGGCACGTATTCAATGCAAAGTTGGTTTATTCTTTGTGTGGAGGGCTTCGAAAAAGGGAATCCGGTTGATTGTTGACTGTCGCATGCCAAACGGGTGCCATTGCAAACCCGATAAGACTCGGCTTGGTGGAGCGGCCGCATTGGCCGAACTCGACACTCTGGTGGATGATGGTGACCTCCCCCTCATAGCTGAAGGCTATGGTGGGCCAGTAGAGCTTCCTGCAAAACTTTTTGGCAATACAGGTGATGTCAGTGATGCCTTTTACCAATTTTCTGTTGAGCCTTTGTGTGAATGGTTTGGACTGGATGATCTGGTGCGGGCTGACGAATTTGGGCTTGATACAGTTTGGGATTCATCAATTGGTCAATACGTTCAACTTCGACCACATGATAAAGTGTTCCCGGTTTTTCTGGGGATGCCTCAGGGTTGGGCATGGGCCTTGCATTTCTGTAACACAGCTGTTGAGTATGGCATGTCGAAGAGCATCCCCGCTATGCAGCATCTGAAAGAGGGGTTGCCTGCACCTGACATCAGACGAGGGCCGGTATCATCGGTTTATGTGGACAACATATGCGCCTTGGGTCTGGTTGAAAGTGCGGTTGACAAGTCATTCGACGAAGCAATTGATAGTTTGGAAAGAGCTGGGTTTGTGCTTCATGAGCTTGAGAGGGGTGGAGCTGAGATTACCAATGTTGGTGTGGTCATATCACAAGACATGCATGTGAGACATAGTCGGAAGAGAGCATGGCGTCTCTATTTGGCTTTGAAAAGGGTTTTGCAGATGAAGGGCATTTTGACAGAAGCGTTGAGGGTTGTGGTTGGTCACATTGTTCATTACTTTTCACTTTTTAGGCCTGGGTTGAGCGTGCTTTGTCATTGCTATCGGTTCATTTATCGTTGGCTGGATGGCAAGTCCCATGTTATTCCTGGGAGTGTGAAAAGAGAGTTGCGGGTGGCTGCAGGGCTCATTTTCCAAGTTGATGTTGATCTGGGCGCTGGTTACTGTGATGATATGTACTGCGGTGATTCGAGTACCTATGGGTACTGCTTTCAGAGAACCGCTGCTACAGTGAAGGAGCAGCGACAGCTAGCAAAGTTTCATGAGCGGTGGCGATTCTTTGAAGTGGAAGCCTTTGCACCTGTCGATGAGAGGCGGCATCAGTCATGGTCAGCTGAGCTGGAGACCCCTGACTTGCAGTATGTCCATTGGTTGCATGAACGGCTGGGGCTCCCTCGGCCAGGCTCTGGAGAACTTGACAGGGGAACGCGAACTCTGAGGTGTGGTGATCAACCTCGGAAGCAGCGCAGTTTCTCTGTGACAGGCCTAGTGCCCCCAGTGCCTGATGAGATTGTGGAGCCCGAGCATTGGCAGACTTTGGTTCAGCGCAAGTGGAACTTTGACGAGCCAATCCACATGAAGGAAGCCAGAGTTGCATTGATGACACTCAGACGAGAAAGCAAGAAGAAGGAATCACATGGTAAAAGGCTAGTGACTCTCTGTGACAATATGGCAGCAGTGTGTGCGTTTGACAAAGGGCGGGCGAAAGTTTTTTCGTTGCTCACCCAATGCAGGCGGTCGGCTGCAATTCAATTTGCCACTGGGATCAGGTGGGTCTTGCGCTATGTTGAGACCTCTCGCAATCCATCTGACTATGGGTCCAGACACTTTGACCCAAAGGCCATCGGAGGGAACAAGCAAAGGGGCAACAGAGCCAGTGCGCCTTGCATCCAACCAGAAGCTATGTCGGAGGGCTTCGTGCCATCAGTTGGCAGTCAATGCCAGTCTGCTCAGTCCCGACTTTGTGCACGGACGCAGTTTGTTCGTTCGGCAAAAACAAGCAGCAGTGTTGTTTGCGAAGCGCCAGCAGTTTTGGAGCTCTTCAGTGGTAGCAGTAGACTCACACGAGCTATGAAATCCAAGGGGTTACGAGTTGCTGTTCCATTTGATTTTTGCAATGGACCTGGTTATGATTTAGCTGATGGTAGGGTACAAGATCTTATTAAGACTTGGGTCAAGAGCGGTCGTATTTGGTACATACACTTTGGCACACCATGTACAAATTTTAGCATTGCCAAGTCGAAGCCTGCGTTTGGTAGTTCATTGTGGACCTCTATGAGATGCGCTAGGTTTACAGCAGAACTCATTGACCTATGTCATCAACATGGAGTGTATTATTCCCTGGAAAACCCAAAAACATCACGGCTCTTCAAGCTTGACTTCATTGTAGAGGCGATCCAGGTGACCTCCGGTCTCTTAGTTGACTATGACTGTTGTAGATTTGGATGCCCGTTCAGGAAATCTACAAGGGTGGCAACCAACTTTGGAGCGCTACAGCAGCTGGGCCGGAAGTGTCGTTGTGGTAAGGGTCATGATCAGCTTCGGGGCTGATGTATGTATCAAACCCCAAGACGACCGCCAGAGCAAAGAGAGCTTGTCCCCGAAGTAACATGTCAAATGCAATCCAAAACGCTACTTCCAGTGGGCAAGGATCCTTCGAGCAACCTGGTTCAAGATTGCCCCAACCCTTCTTGGCAGCTTTGGTCAAAGGATAGTTGGTTCTCGACGACGTCGGCCATTGTGGATATTCAATGTTGCAGTTTTGTAATGCACATGTGATGACATACTTGGAGGAACCTGTGCTATATAAATGCTCCGCAAACTTTTCTAAGGACTGATCAATTTGACTCATGGAGACAAATTTGCACCGCAACCCAGCCAACAAACATTCTGCAACACAAAAGGTCAAAAACTGTTCCCATGCATCACTGTAAGCATTTCTCGTCACCGACTTGCGGATCCTGGCTCTTCGCAGGAAACCCGGTTTCATGTCAGTGACCTTTTTGGCCCTTTCCTTTGCAAGAATCGCTTGTCTGCTGACCCGTCCCCCACTCGCCCGCGCACTTTCTCCACGGACACTCATAGGAGGTTGGGCACGGCTCGAGCTTGGGCTCGATGCAACTTTTGACGCCAATCCTTTTTGAAATTTCATGGCACCACCTGTGACCTTCGTCACAGGAACATCATCCCGCCAGCTCGAGGACTGAACCTCAGGTATGCCAAGTGGACCATTTTGCTGCACCCCCAGGAATTCCATGATCCATCAAAAACTGGGACTTTCAATGACAGTTTGATTGTTGGCTCCCCTGACCGGGAATGGATTGGGAACATCTTGGGCAAAGTTTTTACCTCTTTTACTGGTGGTGGCAATGATCGTATTTTCCCTTTTTCTCTGAACCAGTTTGAGAAAGAGTTCAAACAAAGTGTCACAACTTTAAAACTTGGTAAACTGCGACTGACACCTCACTGCCTTCGACATGGCGGTGCAAGTCATGACTACCTTGCAGAGCTCCGTAGCCTTCATGACATCCAGCAACGAGGCTGCTGGGCAAGCTTTGAGTCAGTGCGTCGCTATTCAAAGCATGGTCGCATTAGTAAGCAACTGCAACTACTTTCAGTAGAACAACAAAGAGCTGCCAAACAAGCCACTCTGGAACTTCCACGCTTGTTCAATCGTCATGCTTGGTAATGGCAAGACATTTAATTTTGGATGTAGTTTGGAAGGTGAGCTTCATCCTTTAGCACTTCCCATTTTGGATCATGAAGTGCAAAGGTGACCAGTCTGGTCGTTTTGTGCATGGCTTCCGCGGTCAAACCGCTTTAGTAAGCTAGCGCCCTGTTTTTACAAAAGTGGCTGCTTTGTGACACAGGTGTCAGAAACCATCATCAGCAATGGGGTTGCTGATAGCAATCTGGTCATTTGGATGGAGTGTGGAGAACAATTCACCTATCACTCTTGAATTGTCCTCAATGTAAGTGAATGACCGTTGAAACGGCTGCTCAAGAAATCGTTCGGCCCACGTGCCCCCCCTTTAACCAATCGGAAGGTGAGTTTCATCCTTTAGCACTTCCCATTTGGATCATGAAGTGCAAAGGTGACCAGTCTGGTCGTTTTGTGCATGGCTTCCGCGGTCAAACCGCTTTAGCACAGCTTACAGCTAGCGCCCTGTTTTTACAAAAGTGGCTGCTTTGTGACACAGGTGTCAGAAACCATCATCAGCAATGGGGTTGCTGATAGCAATCTGGTCATTTGGATGGAGTGTGGAGAACAATATATATAGAGCAAGTCTATTTGCCTCATGACATGTTTATACATGCTGGTTTCGAGTCAGATCATGTGATTGTACCCCCCGTCGGATTGCTGAGGTGGCCACGACGACGATGACTTTACTGGGAAAACATGGGCCGGCCTATGTGTAAAAGCGTCTGTGTGTAAAAGCTTCTGTGTGTAAAAGTGTCTATGTGTAAAAGCTTCTGTGTGTAAAAGCTTTTGTGTGTAAAAGTGTTTGCGTGTAAACGCTTTTGTGTGTAAAAGCTTCTGTGTGTAAAAGGGTCTTTGTTAAAAGTGTTTGTGTGTAAAAGCGTTTGTGTGTAAGAGTGTCTGTGTGTAAAAGCGTCTGTGTAAAAGCGTCTGTGTGTAAAAGCTTCTGTCTGTAAAAGTTTCTGTGGGTAAAAGCTTTGTGTGTAAAAGCGTCTGTGTAAAAGCGTCTGTGTGTAAAAGTGTCTGTGTGTAAAACCGTCCGTGTGTACAAGCGTCTGTGTGTAAAAGGGTCTGTGTGTGAAAGTGTCTGTCTGTAAAAGCTCCTGTATGTGAAAGCTTTTGTGTGTAAAAGCTGCTGTGTGTAAAAGCTTCTGTGTGTAAAAGCTTTTGTGTGTAAAAGCGTCTGTGTGTAAAAGCTTCTGTGTGTAAAACTGTTTGCGATGCAAACTATTGTCTTGTACTTGTGCTATATTGTCTTGTTACTAGTCTTCTCGACTGCCTATAACACATCTTTAATATAATGTTTTGTAATATGGTGTCTCCATACTAACAAGAGAAGACCCTGCTCCTCTACGCTCTCGGGCCATCCGTCGTCTAGTTTGTGTTGCAACCACGTAGGTGTGCTAGCACAGCTTCTAAACCTTCATCCGTTTGCACCCGGAGGAGCGCCACATCCGCGTTATCCAAGTGCACATGCCCCGGAGGCAAGGCACGGCTCCCCGATACAACATTCACGCAGCGCCAGCAAGGCTTCAGACCAGCTGCACCCTTGCAACCAGCATAGGCCCTTAGGCCTTCATGGTCCCCCAAGACCACGATCTTGCAAATCCAGAGCAATACGGAACCTTGTCGCAGAGTGATGGCACTGCCATGTTGCGTTGCGTCGTGCACAGACTCCAACACGCAGCGCAGATATTCCGCATGGGAAAATCCTCTCTCTGCTATCTCATTGGTTCGCATATTGCTCAGCGGAAGCCAGCACGAATCGAGGAACAATACGTCTAGTTCCAAGAAGCTGCAATACATCATACAAGACTTCTTCGGCTGCCGTGGGGCCAATATGTTGCCGGGAGTTGTGTCATCAGAAAAAACGACAAGAGTCAATTGCCCATCGTGCCTTTCCCAAGCATCTGACAGCAAGCGAGCGAACAGAGGACATGCCTCTACTTTCGCCTGCAGAAGGTCCGGGAAAGAATTCATGTGCACTGGCACATCCTTGCGTTCGCCAGCCATAATCTTTTGCATCAGCTTGGAGGCCTGTCGGTACGCAAGGTGCTCTCGAACTCCTGTGCGCCGGCCAACTTCATCGTCACGCAGCAATTGGATGACATCCCTGCAATCTGCTTGACTCAGTCGAGGCAACTGCCTCAAAGCCTGAAACTGGGTCAATGCATCATCCTCACGTCTTAACTTGCGTCGTTTCATCTTCAGCTCACTACGTCCTCCTTAAGCCGCTGCGGCAGTAAAACGACAGACTTTCTCGGTTATATATTTTTAACATGCGACCATATATGTGTTTTCTTTTCTTCTCTCTCGTTGTCCCCGGTATTTCCCTTTTTTTTCGTGCACGATCTGTCATGCGCAGAGACACAATGTCAGCCCAGTGAACATAAGTCTAAGTCTATGTTTCAGAAACTTCTGAGTCAGAGACAGAGATAGAGAAAATGTGAACATGTGTCCATGAATTCCAAAAGTGGTTTATTTGCTTCTAGAGAGACAACAGATAACAAAATGACAACATGTGTGAGACGAACGACAGCTGCCAATCCCTTTTTGACGCGCAAGTTGACAATTCAACTCAGCTTCGAGCAAGCAGCTACCTAATCGAGACACTACCCCATGTCATTGCTGCCACTCAACATCTCTCTTAGAGATTCTTGCCTCGACACGTCTCTCTTAGACATCTCTGCGCTTTTCACGGTGCAGCTTTGGCTCGGCGTCTCTTGGGTGCCGGTGGCTCGCCTGCGGTATCGCCCGTAGCGATGCCAGCATATCTGAGCGCTTCTTCGGCGCCGCTGCCGCCTTAGGCATGCTGGCCTTCACCGCTTTCTGACCTTCCGCGGTCTGCTTCAAGGTCGCACGAAGATCCAATGGATCAAACGGCAAGTCTTCAAGGTGTTCCTGTGCCTCTTGGGCCGCCTGACCTTTGTTCCTTTCTTGGGCATTCACTGCCGCACGACACTGCTGGCCCCAGGCTGTGATTGTAGTCAAATTTTTCTTGCACAAGGCAACCGCGGCCGTATCGACTCCCTCCTTGCCATCGGCATTCGCCAACAGCTTGGTCAAGGATGTCTCAGCTGTTGCCAGAGGTCCCATGGCCTTGGCCGCGCTAGACGCTACCTTAGCGTTATGCGTCGTACGCTGGCGCAGCTCTTGCAACCCCTTCTTTTCCTTTCCCTTGTCTTGGTCTTTTCCAGATGCAGCAGCAGCCTCCGGGACATCCAAGTCATCCTCTTTGTTCTTCTTCCCGGCTCGGCGCTTCGTCGCCTCTTTCTCCTGTTCCAAGAGCTTTTCCTCGACGCTCTCAAACATGTCCCGCCAGCCGTACGTGTCGCTCTTCTCTGATTCAAATTTCTTCACGACATCTTCTTCCCAGCCCTGAGCCAGGAGAACAGACAAAGGAAGCGGTGTCACTTCTGTCGTGGATGCGAAGCTGCTGATCTTGCGTTCCGTCATCCGACGCTTCAGGACGGCACGAATCGTGGCCCATTGCAGGTTTCCATTGTCACGCTTTTCTTCGTGAAGTTTTTGAAAAAAGGAGTGGCAGTCAGCATGGGACCACGCGCCAATCTCAGCTGCGGTGCCCAAGTTTCTGCGCATGGCTCTTTCGATGCTTGCGCATGGCAAACAGCGAAAAAATCTTCCATGCTTGCGACCATCACTCGCAGCTACCTTTCTGTTGCATAATTTGCACACCATCTCTGCCGATGGGGGCTGCGCTGGTGCCGCATGCGATTCAGCCATGGCGCACGTCCAGGGAAAGAAGAACAGGTCTTCAGATCACACGGTCAGAGCCAAAAAGTGGTGCAACGCGAGTTGCGGCCAATTGTATGTGTATCGTCTGTGAGCCCCTTTCATCTTACATACGAACGGAAGGTGTATACAAAGTTTTGCACAACTGAAGGAATTGCATTAGATTTGGGGCTGGATGCATTAGATATGGGGTTGGATATCTTGGCTTCTTATGATCAATACACCTCATCTCACATCAACACACCATAGATAAATATATATATATATATATATATTACATATTATATTATACATATATATAGATACATATATACATATATATATATATTTAAATAAATATATATATATATATATTATATCTATATTTAAATATATGTATATATTATACAATATATATATATATATATATCACATATACCCCAAGACACCGTTGCCACCGGTCGCTGGTGGCAATCTTCGCTTGCTCCACTTCAGTGCCAGCACCTGACAGGCCAGACTGGGTGAATGGATTGATGGGCCCTATTTGATGACCAATACTAAATTAAATTAGCAATTCTCCAGTCCAGTCATTTTATATGACTATATTTTCTATTACTATATGACTACTATATATTTTCTAGTAAACATCTACAGGTAGGTTCATGAGCAAATGGCAGCATCGGTGAAGAGCTCCACACTCTCGGTTTGTAATCTTCTCCAGACATGCATCCGCATGACGCTGAAAGTGTGTCTCATCAAGATCCAAAGCTAGGAGTCATGATGAAGCAGTCGTGCAGCATTGCCACAGTCACCGACAATTTGTTCTGGTCATCCAAGCTGTCCAGAATTTGGTGAGATGAGACAAGGACCAAGTCTCCATTGACATGGTCGGGAGGTTCTGAACCTCTGTTGGTGTCAGGCGACCCATCATCAAGTGCTTTGAACAGCACAAAGGTGCGCAATCCCAGTTTGGAGGTGAAAGTGGCCCAGCGTTGATCATTGTGATATGGGGCTCACTGAGCCAACTCAAAGTTAGTTCCTACTGGATGGATTTGTTATTTAATAGTGCTCATTGCTACAGAAAGTCATATCTTGTCTTGGTTCTAACTTGCCAATTGCAATCATCATATCATAGCAGCCGGTGGCATTCCATTGTGAAATATGATTGGCCCAATTGCAAAATCGATGTAATTATTGCATAGTTTGTTTCCTTTTTATTATGTTTATCCATTACATTATTATTATTATTAGTATTATTATGAAACAAAATTGCACAGCGTTATTGTCACAACCTGGTTCAAAACTCTCACTGCCTGCTTGCCTGCTCCAGTTCAAAGGCTCAAGGACTTTCCTGTCACCTGGATAGGTGGCCGTGGGTGGTAGACTCATGTCAGTTGAGTTGCCATCTGATGATGATGAGGGCCCTAGCATTGTGATGCAAGCTGGTGCTCTATCAATGAAACCTTCCAGGTTAGACATGGATGATAGCCACACCCCTGCTCGCAAACCACAGCGACTACCCAGCTTGGAGTGCCCTGATGCACATATTGGTATTATTGTCTGGTTTGAGGGATAGTTATTTGGGAATTATGTTGTAGTATTAAAAAAATGGGATTGGTAATCATTGTCATGTAGCATGATGTAGCATATATATATACAGAATCTGTCAGTCACTGTCCACTTGAGGACACCGCCAGAGAAGCCGATCTACTGTTGCAAAAGAGGCTGCATTTCGATGTACCAGGTTGGATCAGCCAGAATGGCATTCCTCAAAGATACTTGCCATTCAGTTGGTTGTTGTTAACAAAAATATTTATAAAATGTCAGGCAGTATTTATTTCCTTTTCCATGCAACCAATGAGTTCTGAGGACATCAGGGAGACAATGTCTAAGATGTCTGGGACTGACCTCAACCAGTATATCCTTGGCCAGCTGGGAAAACTGGAAAGGCTTCTTCCAGATGCGCAATTCCAGGAATCACTTGACAAATCAAAGGTTTCTTGGATAGTTTTTGCAATATATAATTTTTATGTTACCCATAAGCTATAAGCCAATAAGCCATAAGCCCAAACCCACAATGAATGCCTTGTGGTCAAAGCCAAAAGCCATCGAGGCTTCCAAGATGCCTGAGCTGAAGTATGCCATTGGTGGCTTCGAGGTCTGTGAGAAGGCATGGTGCGTTCTGATGGGGATCAATGAGAAGAGGGTCACTTTGACTGAATTCAACAATTATTTTGTATGAATGTTAAATTACCCACCAGTAACAATGTGGTGATTGTTTTCAATAATGGTTGGTGCTTTCTTTAAAGTTTGGGTTCTTAAACATTGATGAGGTCAAGCGATTGGCAAGTGGGCTGGTTACGAACTCTCTTCCGACTGACATGCGGAAGTACAATGGGAAACAGCGCTCTTGTAAAAGCACAAGTGTGGATGGGTTCATGGCATATGTTTACTGGAACCTTGTGCCTTGATTTCACAATTTGGTCAGCAATGGGGTGATTATGATTTCTTTTGTTTTGATGGTAATGGCTTGAACTTTGAACCCCCAATAATTACCTTCTTTGGTTTTTATTGACAGTTCTAAAGTTAAGGCAGAATCGTTGGCTGAGACAGCACCGCTTGAAGCAATCAGTGGGGCTGCCCTTTGTGCTTCTGGCCTATTTCTGCCCAGCCCTTTGGATGAGATATAGCGCTAAATGAGGAACTCTACATGTCATGCTAATCTATTTACCTTCAATGACTGAATACTACTCTGATTCTTTCTGGGGAATGGCTTACAATTCTCATTGCCCAGCCCCACCTTTCCTGACTTAATTGCCAAGGTGATGCAGAGCGTGATCTTCCTTCCACACTCCTTGGTGGGGACCGGTGCTTCGATGCACAAACGATGAGCAAGTCTGACCCTGTGGCAGCAGTGGAGCTCATGGGTTCAAAATTGCTTGAGAGAACCTTTATTGGATTTTATCAAGATTTTGGTATGATACCTTCAACTGTTACAAATCAATTTCTTTTCCATTGGTCGTTGGTTTGATAGAAAGAGCCCCCTGCAAGAACAAAAGCGGGCAAGTAAATATTGCCATCAAATTTGGAAGGCTACAGTTTTAAGATCAGAATCAGTGAGGTGGCTTGCAACCTCGCCACATCCAACACATGAGTATGGAAGCTTTCTATGAACTCTACACCTTGTGGTGTCAGGGGAATCAGAGTGAGGAATCTGAGATTGCCAAGAGCCGATGTTTCGCCCAAGTCTATGAAGAGCGGTGGAAAGGTATGGTGCAATTCAGAGAAGCTTCTCAACATGCCCGGTTCCATGATGGCAACACTTAGACTTACCTGCTTTTATGAAGATAGAAGATCACCTATATTAAATTGTATGATGTGTACATAATATAACAAATTCATAGCAGGACTGTTCTTATCAGCAAGATCCACCAAGATCCACCAAGATCCCCAAGCATTCTGTTGGCTACCAAGGTGCACACAGTGCGCAGAGTTCATTGCAGGCAGAACGAGATCAACTGGAAAAGGCTCAGTCGGAGCACATTCGCAACGTCCGGATGTTCAGGGAGACCAAAAGCCGGTTGAATGCACTTTCTGAACAGTCAACCAGTGGGAAAGGATCCTGTCAAAATGCTTCCATCCTGAAATTGGACATTGATGGGTTTGATCAGTCGAAGACCAGATACCCACGGCTCAACTCTATGAACCCCAAGTCATTGGCGGGTGCATGGCGGCCCCAGATTCATGTACTTGGTTGTATTTGCTGGGGTGTGCCCTGGATATTACCTTACTATAATTTTTTGTCTTTGGATTTACACTCACAACCTGGTCCAATTCAAATCCAAGAATATGACCCAGCCAGCAATGATCCTTAGGTAATGGAGTCCTACTATGTGTTGGAGCCAGATGTCCTGAAGGATAGCAGTACAGAGATTACCTGTATCTTGAGGGCTTTGGACCAGGTAAAGGACATCCTGGACCAACGTGGAGTGCAAATGCCAGAGCACTTGGTCATTGAGGTTCACTAATTGCCAAATGATATGTTGTTGTGTTTGTTGTAATCACCTTCTGAATACAAATAGTCATGAGAACCACTCACAATGAGATAATGACTTAATAATTAATCATGAGCTGCAACCCTGCAGACCGACAATTGTGTTCGCGAAGGGAAGAACCAATGGGTCGCCAAAATGTGTGCCACTGCAGTGATCAGTAAGCGGTTTCTTTGAAATCATTAGCAACCAATTTTCTACTTTAAAATGTCATATATATAAAAATGGCATATGGTGCATACTATGGCACATGTCCAACGATCATCCCACATCCCTTTGATAACTTGCTGTCTGAGGTTCAGGTCAGTGACCCACGTCTTCGGCGAAGTAGGACATACACATGGTCCTGTGGATCAAAGACTGAGCATTTTGACATCAGCATTTGGTGCAGCTGATGTCATCCAATCGCCAGAGGAGGGTGATTCATATGATGGGACTTATTTACTATATTATTGCTACTTTCCCCCAATCTCATTTTCAGGAAACTATACAAAGTATATATAATTGCAAGGATGACCAATAATGATAGTACCAATTCAGTCCAGTTTTAATTTATCTTGGTTACCCTGAAGGATTTCGTGGCCATCATCAATGAGAAAGTGAAACCTGTCCGGAACCGTGAGCTTAGAGCTGAGATCTTGGTTGGGAGCTTGAACTGGCGGGACTACTATGTGCAATATGGAACTGACATGGCTGGATTGGTGACCAAGCCCAACTCTGATTTGAGTGTCAATCACTGTTGGAGATTCATTCGCCGGGCTGACACTATCATCTGCCCTTTGTTTATTTTTCCTTTTGTGGCTATTTTCTTGACATGTGTTGGGGTTAGATACCTGAAAACACAAAGATGCTGTTACCCACTATCACTTGGGACCTGCCGCTCTATGATGACAAGACTGGAGATTCTTGGAAGCCTGATGAGATTCCTCGGGACCCTTGGTTACAATGACAATGAGGGTATCACTACTTCTAACCTTTTGGGTTTGAAACTCCTTCTATCCTATTTATGGTTCTGATTCTGTTGGTTTGTTCAATGAACTTTCATTGATAACACACACCAATGCCAAGGAGGACTATCCATTCCATCCAGATGACTGCATCCTTCTGGTGAAGTACCTTGTGAACTCTCAGAGTTTGTCCCAACCGCCACTGGCTGCCCTTCCAGTGAAGTTTGCAGAACGACTGATCAAGAACTTGGAATCCCTTCCGAGAAACCTCTTGTCTGACAGAGCCAAGAAAGAGTTACATGGATTCAATGTTCATATTAGTTCTCTGCAAGTTTCATTGGGTTTCAATTCAACATTGGATGGGTCTTCCAATCATCTACCATTCCCACCCTATAAAATTCTCACCCAGGTACCAAGCCATTGTCCAGCTCCTTGCTACATCGCCTCAGGTTTTTGCGAACAGCTGACTTGATTGAGAAAGAGCCTTGGGAGCTTAGCAAAGCTGCAAAGTGCTTGCGGGGTTGGGTGGAGATTTGGTATGATTTCAGAATTCAAATTTTATGTCTTTTGATTCATGTCTGTTTCAATCCCCAAAAGCCTTTGAATAGTCATGAAAGAATTGAACTGGCAAATAATGTCCAATCAGTCAAGGATGCCAATGTTCGCCAAGATTGGCAATCTGTCAGTGAACCAATCTGGTGGTTCTCACGAGATACAAGGGCGTTGTGCTTGGCCCCAAATCCAGAGGGGTTACTTGGTTGATCTTGCAGGGAAACTGAATCACTGGCTTCTTTACACCGAATTATTCCATGTCACTACAATTTCCCAACACCCCCAAAAGATCAAATATCATCAATGTCATAGTCTCTCAATGGTTTACATTATATTATAATATATATATATATAATATTATCATTATTATATATATAATTTACAATCATCATAGAGTCATACACTGTTGTTTTTCAACCTTGTTTTCCATATGAGGTGGGAACGATTTGCACCTGGACCAGTTCAAACTGTGACCATTCTCCCATCCAAGAAGGACCATGCCACCAAACAACCTCGAAAAAGAGGCCGTGCTCCCAGGGATCCCAATTTGCCTCCACCAAAGCGAGGCCGACCTCCCAAGAACCGCAATCCACCAGTGACACAGCAGGCAAGTGGCCCAGGTGAGCAGCAGATCTTTGCTGAGAAGTCGTCAGTGGCCAGTGTTGCTGTGCCACCTCAGGTGGATGCAGAAGAGCCAGAGCCACCCCAACCCTCTGCTGTTGCTACCCCAGCTCAGCCGCCCCCACCAGAGCGTGCCACTTTTGCTGGTCGAACTGGGGTTGGGTCTGATGAATTTCGAACCAGTTGGAATGATCGAAGGGCTATGTACTACTAGTATGTTTCACCTGAGCATTGGAAAGACCCTCTTGAACGTCAGTTCTGGACTTTGTGCACTAACTGTGGAAACAACGAGGAAGGGCTCAACAAATTCCTTGAGAAGATTGGTGCCCAAAAACAACCTGAATCTACCCACTCTGCAGCTGCTGCGCCCAAGGCACGAGCAAAAGCCAAGGCGAAAGCAGCTTCGAAGAAGCCTGCTGCCAAGATTCCTGGTCGTGGCCGAGGGCATGGGCGTGGAAGGGCTGGTAAGGGCAAAGCACCGTGCAGGTAGATTAGCACCAATGGGTTTTTCGCAAAGCATCAGCGAAGTCTGAATGCAGTTGGTATTGGGTTTTGGATGATAGGTGATATCATCTATCAACAATCTTTGAGGCTTGTCATTTCACAATGGCTAAGCTGAACCTTTAGCGTGAAACAACCTGTCAAATTGATGGGACTGTGACAACAAGTGGGGGGTATCACTTGAAAGCCAGCGAGAAAATGAGAGGATTGATTTGGTCACTGGGCTTGACTTTGCCTTGTTATTCAAACAAAAGGTTGAGTTCATCATTCATGCTGATTCCTGATGTTGCATTTCTGACTTTTAGATTTACAATCAACATTGCAACATTCTTTGAATGCTAGTCTTTTTGCTCAAATTCTTGTAGTCCGGACTTCAATCCAATAGGAACTCACCATGAAAGCAACAACTGTAACAACAACAGACAACAGTTGGATAATTACTTCTCATTGCATTATTATTGGACGACACTTAGTTTTTTCAATGTCACTTAGCCTGCCTGATGATGATGAATCAGGGCCTGTGATTCCAGCAAGTCCCCAACAGGGCTGCAAGGATCGAACTCGAACCAGGCCTGCACAAGCAGGTCGCAAGACCAAATCCAGAAAGGCAGCATTGCGAAGCACCTTGGCAGACAGCGGTGCTGGCTTGCCCCCTGATGATGATGATGGCCCAGACCTTTTCTCATCTCTTGGGCAAGCATGTCAACCACCAGAGCCTGAGCCTGTCCCAATCTATGATGTGAAAGATCCCAATCTTGCAAGGATCTTGCAGTATGATGATTCAACTCTCAAGTTGGCTGCTAAAAAAATCCCTAGCCAGATTGAACACCCATTCGATGACTTGCGAGCAACTCTGATGAACCTACGTCCAGTAGATGACAGCGCTAGGTGTGACCTTTGGGAAATTTTTTCACTTCCAAGACTGCAACCGGTCTTGGTTGATCTTGGGGGGAGGTGCCAGAGGACCTATGACATACGTCATTTCTTTGACTTGGGACTGCCTGCACTTCAACGCACATTGATGCAGGATTGTGCCATGCTGCAACCGAAGTCTTTATTCCTTTCACCCCCATGTACATGGGTGTCACTACTTAAACATAGCAACTGGTCAAGAGTACCACGTGAAAAACGAGTTATCAATTTAGTGCAAGCATGTGGTTTGATCGACTTCTCTATGTGGCTGGCAGAGCACCAAGTCCAGAGTAACAACATATTTGGATTTGAGCATCCTGGTGGTTCCCTTGCATGGGAGAGAGACAGTGAGTGTGACTTGACAGCACTGGACCCTGTCTTAACATGTGATGTCACATGGCTTAAATAAAGGCTTGATCCCAACTGGTATGTTACAAGACAATGACCATTCCCATTCCAATTCACAACAAGTGGGGAACACCTACCCATTGCATTGAACAACTGTCCACCTGCTTGCTAAGGTGAAGCATCTCCAGCGTCACTGCTCAGTTCATGTTGCAGAATTCGATATGTGCCAATTTGGCATGGTGTCACTGGAGTCAAAACGGCCGGTGAAGAAAAGAACAAAAATCATGACCAATTCAGCTTCACTTTTCAAAGCCTTCAATGGAAAGTTTTGCCCAGGGGATCATGAACACCAAGTGATCTCAGGGAACGAGGGGGGAATGAAGCGCTCCCAAGCTGCACAGGTCTACCCAGACTCCCTTTGCACTGCCATTAGCAAGGCACTTTTGGAAGATGTGAAGAGGGAGTAGGCCTCAAACAAAGTTTGGGCCTGGCAGCACTTGAGCTCAGTGACAAGTGGCAAAATGACTGAATCTATTAAGAGGGTATTTATCATCTCAAAAAATCATTTTTTTTACTTGATGTTGATTTAGGATCAGAAGTTCGAAAGGTTTCATCCGAAAGCGTTAGAAATCCTTGGTCCCATCCACCGAAATCAAAGTCTGGTAAAAATGTTACATGTTCTTGTTACTGCTGCCTAAGTTGGTTTTTCAAAATATGATGTCAATATCTGATGATTTCGATTGAAAACTTGCCAAACTCAACAGACAAAGCTACCCCTTGCACAACTTGCACTCCTACAAAAGAAACCTGACTTCTGCAGTGGTAGTGGTAATCCTTGGAGTCTTGGAAGATATCAATTGAAACCTGCCCAAGTCACTATATCAAAATTGAACTTTGACTTCTGCAGGAGGTTGCATTTCTTGTGACTCTGATGATTGCAAGTGATTTTGGTTCAGAGCCCGAGCATCGTCATGGTACTGCCGGGGCAAGGTTCAGATTCAGAATCTTTGAACAATGAGTTTGTAACTGTTTTCATATTTGTTGGAATGCAACCCTATGATTCTAATGATCCCTAATGGTTATAATCTAATGATGCCTATGATCCTAATGATGCAATGATCTTTGAACCCTATGAGTCAATGATCTTTGAACCCTATGATTCAAAGAGTTATTTGAAATATGGGAACCCACTACCCTGACTGGACATGACCTCAGGACTTCGAGATGGAAGAGGTTGCGCAAGACATGTTCCAGCCAGAGGATGGGGATGATTCTGAAGAAACTTGATTTGCAATTGTAACCTACTGTACTGCTTTAATGTCATAATATGTTATACCTTGTCTACCTCATTGAGTGCCTAAACTTTAGACTTTTTTGGGTTTCCGGGGGCTTCCATTTTATACCCCAAAAAGGGTGTGCGAACCCAAACAAAAAGAAAGTTTAATTTTTGCAAAGGAAACCCAGTGAGTAAGTTGTGGAATGTAACCACCCATAAAAATCAAAATTATTATTGATAGTTACTATTCATAAGAACCAAGTCCATTCAGGTCCATCCTTGCCACATGCAAGGTACCATCACCGACTGCACAGCTGGATGCTGGCAACAAGACATTGTATGCCAAGGCGCCAGTTGATGATGCGAAGACCCTTTCGTTCACCTCAGGGGATGATGAGGGCAGTGCAGGTGATGCATCATCTGCAATGGAACCAGTACAGCTTTGCTCATGGATGCTGGTACCGATGAGATGTTGTATGAGAAGATTGTGAAGGAAATCATAAGTATCCTGGCCAACATTCAATTACCAATTGGAATTGCACATTTATGCACCAACTATTCAACATAACCATCATTCTCTGAGCCTGCACTGAAATATGCCAAAACCAATTTCAGATCATGGTATTGTTACTGTTGTTGATGCAGATTCTTCCTAGGTGCTGGAGGCCCCAGGCAATACATCCACCAGAAGTTTCCCATTGCCTCTTCGCGCCCCGAGCAACTTGCTAAAGTTCTGACTATGATGGTGCCTCCATTGCCTACCCAAGTATATAGTGAGCACTATCCTCTTCCTGCCTGCTTTCCAGGAGACTTATTGTGGAAGATTTTCAATGTTTCTAATTGTCATATATCAGCGAATACCCTGGTGTTGACACTTTGAGAATTCAACTTATTATATTAAAATCATTTATTATATATCTATTATATATGGTTTGTTGCCACATACCTGGACCTCTAGGATTTGTCAACTCCTCTCCTCATGTTTCAGGACAAGAGGATCAGCAAACTGCCTTTGTGATTCCTTTTCACCTGTTCAGCGCTGAGAACTGGTCATCATTGAGAGAACCGGCAACCATTGATGTTGCTACGAAACTGATGTGGCACTACTGCGCAGATGGATTCATCTCTCATGATGATCCAGTTTGCATTAAACTGAAGGAACTGATTCTCTGATGGTGTCTAAATAAAATGTTTTAAATTTATGTAACTGCTGGATCTAAAACAGTCTGGTGGTTCTGACCCTTCTTTCCACCCATGCAAGTCAACACATGAGTCTGCTTGCAGGACAGCAGCAATGGCCAGAGTGGTGAAATTGCCAAAGGTTCCATCGGATACCTCAAGGGTGCAGCGAGGGTGACAACTGCCATAGCTGTAGTGGTTTGCTGCAACGCAATGGGGGTCCAGGTGCAAGATGTATGCTCTATATGTGTTCAAATACTTTGGGTTCCAATTTGCCTCACAGTACAAAGTTAAAGCTAAGATATGTGAAATTAAACATGATGATATGTGACAGGTACCAAATCCTCTTCTCAAAGGGTTGCAAGTGATCAAGTGCAAGCACATCCGACTTCAGAATCGACAAGAGGAGCTGTTACTTGAAACATCTTGAAACCGATTTTACTTCACCTTTTAGTTTATGTTGTTAGATTGGGTTTGTGTAATGTTCTAATTTAGTGAATATCCTGCTTTGATCCAGCCAGGTTCTTCAACATGAAGAAGTCCGTGAGAGGTGCAATCCGGAAGCCTCCGTCATCTATCTCTTGGGTGGTTTCACTGCAGAACATCAACCAGGGTTCAAAGCAGGTGGATCAAGGTTCTATCATCAAACAATGGATTCTTGGAATTTAAAAAGCTAGTAGCTGGTGAATTATTTTGGTGGTGTCTATCCCCTCAATATGTCATTCTATTATTATGGGGCTCTCCTTGATAAAACCCAGGAATGCAATTGCTGCTCGCACTGACAAGTTGGTTGGGGCAAAGGCGATGGCAGTGACCAATTTGTTTCAAATGCCGGAGGAATGCAGGGATATCATTCTTGACTGTGTGTCGATGTATGGATGGGATGGCTACTGGGTCAGTCAATGAATCGTCAACATTTTATGTTCATTTGACATTGATATGTCATGGCTATAACATGGGAAAAAAGTAAATCCTTTTGAACACCAGATACAACAGTTCCAACAAGAAACCAGGCTGTCCATTCTCTGATGAGTCACTGCAGAGCAAGAAGCTCTTGGTGAACTTCAACCACAAGGGCGCAAGAACCTCGAAGGGCAGTCCATGGCAACACCGGCTGAAGAATTCCCTGGAGAGTTGCATCTTGACATTCAAAATGGTGACAAGCCAATGGGCCAAACTGAAGCCACATGAAAGGCGGAAACCACTTGGTCGCACCCAGCTGGAAGAGAAATCTTCTCTATGTGCACTGGCATGTCCCTTGTTTGTTCATTGGAATTCCAGAATGTTTATCTACAACCTACAACCATTGATGGCTAGCTGTGGTCAACAATGAACAAATAGTATATTTTTATTTGGGTATGTCTCAAAATGAGGTGCCCTTTTTTAACCTAAATTTATCCCAAATTTAAGGGTACTATTATTTTAGTATCAAAAAGGCAAGGGCACCTCATTTTGAGGCATACCCATTTATTATATCATATTATATAATGTATGTATTATTATATCATATTATATACCTCATTGTCATATATGTATTATATAATGATATCACTATCATGTGAACCCAACTCATTTTTGTGCCCCAAACTCAGGTTCTGTGGTGGACGAGCTGTCATCCTCAGTTCCAAATGTGGAACAGATGCTCCGTGACAGGTTTCTTTAATGCAGCCAGGGCCACTATCAAAAACAAACAAATTGGTGGAATCGTGTGGAATGACATATTACATCCCAACAGTAGCATTTACATGTATCTTTTAGTGATAACCTGCCCCACTGTGCCAAGAAGCTTTGACATCCCAGGTTCTTGCACCGGCTGGAGCTGGGCGATGAGGTCTTGGAGAGCAATCTCCTGAGCGTGGTGGAAGCCAAATCGGATGATTGGATGCCCCGGGAGAACGCATGCACCTGGGACAGCACAAATTCAAAACTTATTGTTGCAATTCAAAACATAAACATGATATCCCACTAGTAACTACTGGTATGGGATAGCAAAGGTTTCAATCATCACTGTGGGTTAATTTATTTTCACATAATGTTTTCCTGTGTTTCAAGGAATGGTTGTTATCCGCTTCCGAATTCCATTGGTGAGGTATCATGGAGATTCTGAATGAGATTTCCCCTGAGAAGGGTCAAGGTGCTCTGATCTCCCAATCTGAGCTTGAGGGGGCCAAATCCACTTTGGACCAATCGGCATTGAACTTGCAATTACAGGAGGTTGATTATGATGAGAAGTGCCTAGCAGCATACTTGTCAAAGCTAGACAGCTACAAGCTTCGCCTTCACCATCAGAAGAATGAGTGGGTTCAGAAACAGATGGAGAGGGCCAAGACTTCTGTCCACAAGTGGTTTGATTCGAAGGCCTAAAGCCTAAATTCAAAACCGCAATAATTTTGACAAGGTCAAATCTGGTTTGTAGTTTACTACTTGGCATGGTGTTTGCTTTCAAGTTTGCCCCTTGAAAGGTTACTGCCATTTGCTGGCCAGAGAAGATTGATGGTGCCACTGCCATCAATGCCATGCAGCAGCTGGAAGATACCGTTGGAAAGTGGACACAGTCACTTCAGCTTCGCACCCCAGCTGCTTGTATCATTTCAGTCCCATTGTGAGGGGCATGCTTCATTTTCGAATGTTCACTTCAAAAAAAAGATTCTACTAAATTTAAAATCACAAGTTTTTGAAATGATTTGATTTCATTGCTTCCAGCCTTCATTAGGCGTACCTCTTTGTGGCCAACTTTGTTGCTCCGTCGCTTGTGAAATCAGAGCTGACACCATGCATCTTGAACCTGATGGGGCATTGTGTTGCCACCCACCCCGCCAACAGCTGTGCAGTGTTCCTGTCCCCACCGTTTGTGTGGAAAGGCACCCTTTTCCAGGAGGAGTATGGTCTACTTCGTACTCTTGCAGGTGCAGGATGCTCTGTGGACAGTAGCTTTCAATTGCTGTTTGATGCCAAGAACAAATGTGTTTCTTGACAAAACATTTGTTTTCTGATCATTTTCCCAAAATGAATCCCTAAAATTCCTACTTTCAACTGCTTGTTTCCCAAGACTTCAGGATGCTCGTGACCAAAGGCCAATGGCCTATTCGGGCAAATTCATAGGACCTCTGGTGACCAGCTTGGACACCCAGAAGGTGGAATGGCTTTGGAAGGATCCAGCAATCAACCGTCTGAGGAGAACGCTGTGAGAAGCGAGGCAGCTGAACTCCAAGCAGTTAATATCAATGGAGGATCTTTCCCCAACTTCGCTCCCTGCCCAAGTCTGTGCCCCACATAGTGCAAACAAGTACTCGCAGATTGGTGGGGATGCTGCTGAGCAGCTTTTGATGTCGGCTTTGGATACTTGGTGTTGGTTCAATCTTGCAATCAAAACATTTTGGTGATGTTCCCAAATTTTGCTATCAAAACATTTTGATGATGTTCTCCACCCAGTTGATCATTTTGCTTAATTAGGCACCCACAAGTCCACTGTTAAGCCAAGCTTCAGAGTTTATATGAATCTATTAAAGACCACTGGTAACAGTAATTGGAGGAACCTCCACTTTAAACATGTCAGGATGGAGTGTCCTTCAATTCATCAACAGGGTTGGTCATTGTCGACTGTGTCCCGACTGTTGGACATCTTCTGGGGGGAAAGCAGAAGGTGTCTGAAAAGATCAACACTCCTTCGCTCTACGTTCCCTTGTACCCCATGGAACACCAAGAATGGGCCGATACATTCTGGACATCAGAATTCATGACTTTGTTTCAAAAGGGGCAGTTGAGTGTGACTGGGTGCCAGAGGCTGGGGTATTTAAACTTTAAGAAGGTTCAATCAAACAATTGTCATTGGTTTGTGTACCAATCACTAAGCTAAGAACCTATAATTTTGATTACCTGGCCCCTGAAGGCTCCAAGATGATCCACCTGCAGAGCATTTGGAATCTCCCCCTGAACCGCCTGCCTTGAAACGATGCACTTATGGGAAGGTGGGACAAGGGTGGTTTACAAAAAACAAATATGGTAAAACCTTCCTGTCATTGACTGTTGCTGTTTCAACTATCTATTATTCTGCATGGTTTTGCATTCTTTACCTTACCCTCAGGTTGAAGGGCAAATTGTCACTTTGGAGATCCCAGAAGCTGTTGTGAAGCAATATGGATCGAAGGAGGAGTTCAAAACATTCCATGAAGGATTCCTTCTCAGAAATCCTCCCACCAAAACCTTCAAGACCAACAAGAAGGGGGCTGGAAACAACCCGATCCAATCGGCACCAGTGCAGAAGAAGCGTCTTCGTGAGGAAGATCTTTCCAGCTGCCTCGTCGATGTCGATGAGAAGTTGACGCCTGAGGGTGACAGCATTTTGGTGGAAGTGCCAATCATCAATGCCCGTGCAGGCAAGAAGTTGGACACCATGCCAGTGCTGCGGATTTCAACCCGAGTTGGAGCATACATTGTGAACCAGTCTGGTCATGAGGTCCCTTGTCATCTGTTTGTGCATTGGTAATGGTATGAACTATCAGGGGCAATGGTTCATCAAGAAAATATCTACATCATATGTCTACATATTACACACATATATATATTTATACATAGGGATATATAATATATATATCTATATATGGGAATATATATGGGGATATCTCAAAATGAGGTGCCCGTTTTCACCCTTAGAGTAAACAAGTTTAACCAAAAAAGTGAACCTCATTTTTAGATATACTCATATATTATAGTAAGACCCACATAGATCATTAATGAAAACTGTCTTATCTCACAATTTGCACCTTTGATTATTCGATTATTCATTGCAATTAGCTGCAAACGCAGATGTTCCCATAATAGTGACTCAGGTGACCCTGCAAAAGAGCTCAGTGCTGTGTGGATTTGGCAAAGCCAAGTTCAAGGAGGGTGGCAACAATGAAACCCTTGATACTGACACCGAAATTCCGTTTGAAGTCAATGATGGTACCTATGCTGTCTTGGACAACCAGTTTGGGACCATAGGTGAACATCTCAGCAAGGCGAAGCAGACCCAGCCAAACAACCACCAGGTTCGCTACCACAAATCGACACAAGATCCAGATGGCAAGTGGCAAATCGAGAAGGATGGCCATGAAATGATTTAAATATGTTTCTATGATGGTTCAACCATTCTCTGAAGCAAATGGTATGGGTTATCATGATGAATTTCAATAGTCACTATGATATTAATGCCAAATCCCTAGAATCCCAACACAAAATCATGGTGAACTGACATGCAGCGCAATAGGATCTAATTTCCCTGAACATCCCTGAAGGAGCATGCTGTCATCTTCTGCATCCAAGCGGAGGATGACAAGAACAAGGTGAGTCAATCCCAGGTGGGTCAGTTTCTCAAACCGCCGCATGCCTGGAACAGCAAGGCAGTGAAGTTGGGCTGGCAGCTGAAGTGGAGCCTCAATGGCATGCAGCCATCACGGGCTGTGGTTTTCGTGGTCCAAGATGTGACCATCCCAGACCAAAAAGCGTTTTTGGTCCAGTAGGATGCCGGAATCCAAAGGGACAATTTTGATGATACATATAAACTCCTACTCCCAATATCTCCCCATATTCAATCACTGATCATATTCTTAGAATATATGTGGCTTCTGGCGCAAGATGGCAGTGACTCTGCAGAACAGCGGCATGCAATGGCACGCAATGGGATCAAAAAACAATCTTTTGGCTGGTACCACCTAAATGCACTCCCCTTGGTTTCAAAACATTATTATAGTGGGATTGTGAAGTTTCTGGATTTTTTTGAAGATATATTTTTGCTTATGCACAATTGTTTCAAACTCTGTATATAATGCCATGAAATTGGAACACCTGGTTGCAAAGGTATAGTTTGGGGTTATTTCTGATCCACATCCGGCACCAGGTCAATCAACCCATTTGTCTTGGTGCTGGCAGCGGCAGCCATTGATAAATTTGGAGCAGGACAAGCGGATCATCGGTTCCGAAATGCAGCTCTGGAGCCATTATTCATTGCCATGTCCTTCTGCACCCATGTACTGGTTCCGAAATGCAGCTCGCTCGGATTTCTTGCCATTGAAGGGTTGAAGGTCCATCTCCATTCATAGTGGTGGGCTTCCACCGGGAGAGCAAGTTTCTCCATTCAAGTTTGGGGCTCCCAACGCAGCAGGCTGCAATTGTATACACCACTCAGCTTGGATTGACAGTTCTGTCATATTCTGCAATATTCTGTCATATTATTATTCTCTAATACCCAATGGTGTACCAGAAATCTATCTTGGATTTCAGACCCATCTTCCTTGAAACTATGGGTTATGGGTCAATTGGCCACTAGCTCAATTAAGTGGATTTTGGTGTTTATTTACACCACACTCAGACCCAATTGGATGACATGGCACTGCTAAATAACCCAATAGCAAGATAGCAATGGAATTAGCCCAATAATTTAATTCTGTGTTTTTTTAAAGGATCTATTTTGGGGAAACCACATATTGGGTTGTTCTGGATTATATCTCATTGATAGTATCTGGTTCTTATCGCCTTGGTGGATTTCATTGATTGATCTCATTGATTTATGGATTTCATTTGATTGATCTCATGTGTTCCAAGATTATCCCCATTGGCCTTTCCCATTGTTCCTTCCTGGTCACCGAGTAGCTCTTCCCATCAGCTATCTCCAGGAGATTGCCACCAGCGGTTGGCCCGGAGAGCAGCGTTGGACCCTATAGTGTGGTAACAGTAGGGGAATCTTGGGTAGATTTAACATAGATGATTAATTAACATAAGTTAACATAGATAATCAACATAAGTTAACTTAGACGACTAACATAAAGAACTTTGGGACCTTCATCGTCACATGCAAACTACCTTATCCCAAATCACATGCTTTTGACCCATGATCAATTGCATTTCCTTACTGTTATTAAGGTCTAAATATGTATATGTGTGATTAAGGCAATTGTCCAATATTATCGGTATTATGCACCTGATCCTGCCCGAGCCATCCCGGATTCCCATCTCACTTTTTACGCTAAACCGTTATCTTGCTATGAGGGCAACCCTAACGAAACCTTCCCATAGAGTTTCTGTCCACGTAGGCTACGTTGCAGTCCAGAGACACCACGTAGGTGCATGCTTCCATCATCATCATGCAGCCATGGCTGCACGCTGGTTTTCGGCTCTGTCCGGCGTGGGACTTATATAAATCTCACTTAGAGTCTTCGAGGCCCATGACCATCCCAGACCCGTTTTGATCTGCGCCCTCTCTGCCCCGTAGGCAGGATCAATGGGTCTGATGCGAACGGAAAGTTGCCCCGCGGAAATTCTATCTGCTGAGAAAAATGGCTACGGCAGAGAACGACGGTGAAAAGAAAAGTAACACAGACAGCATTTTCATCCCTCCTTCCGCAGACACTGGCTGAAGGACAAGTTAAACATCCGTTAGACATCCGCAGACACCGCAGACGCACTCCCATGTCCATTTGCTCATGAGTCTTGTCGCGCAGACACACGCAGACAGCAGCTTCAAGTCCAAACAAAGCCTTTTCTCGCGAACCCGCAGACAACTTCCGCAGACAGCATCCAGTCTGGTTTTTGTCCGCAGACATCGGCAGACGTTCGCAGACAGAGATACATTCAAACATTTTGGCACTAAATTTGGCACAATGCCACTTAGAATCCCTGCAGGTCAGCTGCCCGTAAGCAGCGCCGTGCTGCTCGTAGAAGCGCAGCGCAGGTTCTGCACCAGTGAAACTCTCTCCTTCGGTTTGGTCGCAGCGAAAAGTGCCATGCTAAGATCGTCAGCCACTTGCTGGCGCGGAGGAGATCGTGCACCAAGAACCTAGCTTCGATTCCAAGGGAGGTGCTCGGACCACGCAGCTCTGTCCTCCTCGTAGGAGACTGGAATCAAGCACGCACCTGCTATCTTGGGGTGCGGTGGCACATCCAGAGGCGTGGCGCCCCATTCCCCATACTTCAACAAGGCGCTCAGACGCTTGAGCACTCTGCGCTGGTCAGCGCGTCCGTGCGCGCATGCCCATTCAGCTGCAGAGTCAAGACAATGTTGGACTTTGCTCCACGTAGAAGAAAAGTCCCCATAGGGTTGCTGCGGAATGGCCTTGACCATCACATCAAACAGTTCCCCCAAACCTTCAGGAGATATTGAAAAAGATATATCGGATGCCATGGGACCGCTCATGCGCACGAAGCTGCTGCAACCTGAAGCCATACAGCAGCGATTACTTTTTCTATTGCAGCAACAGACACGACACATGCCATAGTCCCACAGACCCCCAAGGAAAGGAAGTGCAGCCATCGCGAGTGCGCGGCAGAATCGGTTCTTTTTGCCCGCGTGTCATATGTATATATTATAGTGACATCTAATTATGCAGAGACAGCAGCGATAATACAGAAAGGTGAAACTGATCCATGCACATGCTGCAGGCACTTCACGCATCAACGCTTCCTTTGCCGTGGCAAAAGACATGCCGTAGACAGGACGGACATACCGCCATGTATGCGACGCCTGCTAAGGTGGGCCATCCTCTGCTCACGTTGCTCCACGCGCCCCCTCACATGGAGAAGACGACGGATGCAACCTAAAACAAGGCGCGGCATACGCGCTCTTGCTGTTTTTTCGAGATGCCATAGCTACGGCGCAACCGTGACACACGGCAAGGTGAAAAAAGAAAACATACTATGACCTCTGGGGTGCTCGTGAACAAGTTTGGGCCATAACCTTCAAGGCTTGAGAAAACCAACTCGAATGTCACAACATGTTGGGAAGCATTGTGATATATGAATGGACTGAAACGATATGAAGCTTGATTTGTCCCTTGGAACTTGACAGAGGGAAAACGGCTACGAAGGAAAGATCCAACCAGCTTGAAGCAAAACTAGCACTGCCAGAAAGGATGTGCAAAGGAGACATGTCGACGGAGCGAGGAAACGTTATGTAACAGGATCGGGACAAAGGCACAGATCGGAGAAGTCCCATGCCACCCCGGTCATTTTGCTCGGCTCTCGTCCTGCGCCGCGTCTCATGTCAGTGCCCCATCAAGGCAGACCGCGGCACTTTGATCCATACTTCGTCCGGAGCCCTCCGGCGCTTAGCCGGACCGGTCTCTCGATCATCTTCATCGTCACTGGGCGGCTCCTTGGGACCCTTAGGTCCAGCACGAACATCAGGTGATGGGGAGCGGCGATGACGATGCTTCTTGTGCTTTCGGCGACGCCCCGACGTCTCCTCCTTCTCTTCCGGTTCCTGTGGAACTTCTGCACGGCGTCGTCGTAACTTCTCCGCCTTCTCCGGGTGATCACGTGGACCATCCGCATGGCCCCCTCGATGCTCCTGGCGCTTCTCCTTGTCTTCACGTGGAAGACCCGCCTGCCCCGAACGTGCCGTTTCCTTTGCTTCCTCCTGCGGCGCTGATTGCGCGAGCGAGCTGGCGTGACCTCCTCGCCCAGCGCTGCATATTCCTCTCCCTCTCTGCCCAGCTTCACCTCATGCGCTCGGGCAACCGCTTCGTCCCAGGAGCAACGCGTCCCATCTCCGTAACATTGCCACGTCAAGCAATGCTCATTCCAGTACATATGTTGAGACATGCCGGAAGTGGAACCTCCCGCGCGAGCCCACCTTTTGCCAGCAATGCGGGCACCGCTGCTTACGACCCTTGGTCGTCCAATTCCCCCGTAGGGAATCCGGAGGAGGTGGCGGTGGCAAACCTGGCGCAGGAGTTGGCAAGGATGGAAAAGGCGCCGCCTCTCGAGTGTCACGCGTCTCCCGATCCGGCACACGCGACCTGCGCGGCTCCACTGGCGGGGGCCGATCGCGCCGTTCACGGCGCGCCGGACTTGGGGAGCGACGATCACGAGCACGTGGCCCACGGTCATCACTGCTTGACGGCTCATCCTTCGCTGCCCGCGCCTCGTAGCTGCGCACAGCTGCAACCGCGGCCTTTTCATTCGGTGAGACCACCTCCGCCGCCTTGGTGGACGGCATTGGTTCCGGCTCTTCCTCTTCCTCCTCGGTCAAGTACGTGTACTCATCCGAGTCGTCTTTCTCTTCCTTGCCGTCCTTCTTCGGCGCCATGAGGTCCTGCGAGCATCGCAACATTATTAAAATGTAAGCCTGCAAGTCAGCAGAAAAGCAAAGAACACTTTCCTGCCTTGTCCAGCGGCTCCCCTTCCAGCCGGCCCACACACGACCCAAACAAACTCGAGCCAAACACCCTGCAGATCACCTAGGCTCAAACAGTGAGGCAACAACCCATGCCCATTAAAAAACAAAAACAAGTAGCAACGCACAACTCCCCGGAGAGAAACACATGCTCCCACCCTTCACTTCCGACCATGCTGTTCCTTTGTTTTGCCCGACCTGTATCAAGATCTGAAGGCACGAATTAATGTCATATTCAGGACATCAAAAGAGAAAAGGTATCGCACCGTCCCTCCTTGCTCAAACCTGAAAGCCACGATCACGCCAGCAAGATGGCATACATCCCGCGGTGAATCTGCATCTGGCACAGCCACCCTTGTACTCCTGCCGCTTGGCTCGTGGCACGAGCGCCATCAACCGCTCTCGCCGCTCTGCGCGTGACAGAGCTGGAGTAGAGGTGCCCTGTGTCGACGCAGCGCTGCTCTGTCGTGGCCCTGCTCCCTCTGCCCTAAGTCTCGAAAGTTAGTAATTTTACTCGCCCTGAATTTTACGTAAAATCGACTGTTTTACTAACGTGATTTTACGTAAAATTTTACTAACGTTAGTAAAATTTTACTAATGTTAGTAAATGATTTTACTAACGTTAGTAAAATTTTGCATGCTTTCAAAAATTGTGAAAATTGTGATTTTTTTCTATTGTTTTTCTTAGGAATTCTGATATTTTTTTGTGATATGTGTGATTGTGGTTTGCGATGATTTGGTTATGAGTGGGGTGTTTCCAGTGGAGGATTTCAATCGATATGTTGTTGTTACTGTAGAAGAAACTGCACTTATGTGTTGAGGAATGACTTTACATGAGTTTGTACTGGAGACTTTACTTGCGATTTTATATGAGGAGTTCTTGGTACTTTCTTGGGACTTTACCTGAGAGTTCTTTTGAGATGTTATGTGAAATCATGTACATCTATATCTATATCTATATATCTATATAAACATATAAACTGGATTTACATAATAATAGGTGAATCCACAAAAGGAATTTACATTGGATCTTGACTTTAAGAAGTCATTGCAAAGCATTTACATTTGAAAAAGAAAGTCTAGATATTTTTTTGGGTAAATGAGACTAGGTGAAATATCAAAGCAATAATAACCACATCTTATCATTTTTTCCAGGCAAGGAAAGTGAACCAAATTTTATTGGATCAGGTTTGTTTGCTACAAAACTTGATCAACTTACATAAAACAATTGTCCATGGGGACTGAAGACATGTCTTTTTCAAAGCTAAATTTAAAAGGGAGCTCATAGACTCTTGTGGTGCTTTTTTCATCATACAATTTGGAGAAGGTCTGGATGAAATCCTGGTAAACCTTTGGCTGGCTTGAAAAAATACATCCAAGAAGTCTTAGTGAGACCCTTACTCCACTTTCAATTCCACATGAATATTTTTTCACATGTGTCCAAAGTTTTTTTCAGAAAAATGCTTGAACACGGTCAAAAATGCAATGCACTTCTGATGCTTTTGGTGCACTTTTGATGCACTTTTGGAGCACTTTTGATGCACTTTTGGTGCACTTTTGGTGCACTTTTGGTGCACTTTTGATGCACTTTTGATGCACTTTTGATGCACTTTTGATGCACTTTTGATGCACTTTTGATGCACTTTTGTGCACTTTTGCACTTTTGATGCACTTTTGATGCACTTTTGGTGCACTTTTGATGCACTTTTGATGCACTTTTGATGCAACTTTTGGTGCACTTTTGATGCACTTTTGATGCACTTTTGATGCACTTTTGATGCACTTTTGATGCACTTTTTAAAAGTGCATCAAAAGTGCGTCAAAAGTGCGTCAAAAGTGCGCCAAAAGTGCGTCAAAAGTGCGTCAAAAGTGCGTCAAAAGTGCGTCAAGAATTTATGGCATTTTTCTTGGAAAAAAAAAAAAATGGTAAGGTTCTCTCTCAAAAAGAGATTGCATGCATTGAGTTTGAAGTAAAACTCATTCAGTGCAGTCTCAAGTAAGGTGCAAAGTGCAATGATAGCAAACTCAGTAAAGTTCACTGACAACAGTCTCAAGTAAAGTTCACTGGCAACAGGCCTCGAGTAAAGTTCATTGGATGCAGCCTCAAGTAAAGTTTATCAAGTAAAGTGCACTGACAACAGTCTCAAGTAAAGTCTCAAGTAAAGTTCATCGGATGCAGTCTCAAGTAAATTGGATGCAGTCTCAAGTAAAGTTCATTGGATGCAGTCTGAAGTAAAGTTCATTGGATGCAGTCTCAAGTAAAGTTCACTTACAGCAGTCTCAAGTAAAGTTCAGTGACAGCAGGCTCAAGTAAAGTTCACTGACAACAGGCTCAAGTAAAGTGCGGTGACAACAGTCTCAAGTCTAGTTCATTGGATGCGGTCTCAAGTAAAGTGCACTGACAGCAGGCTCAAGCAAAGTTCATTGGATGCAGTCTCAAGTAAAGTTCACTTACAGCAGTCTCAAGTAAAGTTCATTGGATGCAGTCTAAAGTAAAGTTCATTGGATGCAGTCTCAAGTAAAGTTCACTTACAGCAGTCTCAAGTAAAGTTTATTGGATGCAGCCTCAAGTAAAGTGCAGCGTCAACATTTTCAAGTAATGTCTTTATGCAGAAAAGTTTCTTGGATCTGTTTTCATGTAAAGCCAACCTCAGCGAACAGCAGCAGAACTTCTTTTTTTTCACACCCCAATGCAAGCTATCAGGAATTGACCGTCTATCTTTCTTTCAGAATGTTTTCGTTTTGCGGCAAAGGACATATCCTTATGCAGGTTCCACATGCTAATTTCTTCACATTCCTCAACAATATTTGCATATTCATTCTGCTTCTTATATCAAATTCAAGGAAATTCGAAAACCTATCACACATCTTCTGGCACATTTTTGATGCATTTTGATGCATTTTTGATGCACTTTTGATGCACTTTTCCTTTTTTTTACATTTTACTAATTTTGCAAAAATCAACAAAAATTTTACGTAAAAATCTTCTGGATTAGTAAAATTACTAAATTAGTAAAATTACTAGCTTTCGAGACTTAGGGTGAGGTTGCTGGGCCAGGAGCAACCGCAGCTGCCTTTGCAGCCGCTGGTCTCTTCAAAACCTTTTTCACAGCTCGTTCCTTGCTCGGCGCATGGCCGGGCTGGGCGCGTGGCCTTCCCTTCGCCTTCGGAACCCTCGCGCTTGGCAAGGATGCTGCGGGCCGCTTGAGTCCCGCTGACGGCGGCAATTCCTGCCGCAATGCTGCTAACTGATCCTCCACTGTCATGGTAAGCGGTTGGGACTGTGAAGGTTCTTCGTGCTTGGGGAGCGTGACTGCCTCCTCCGCCCTTGGGAGATCGCAAATAGCCAAGAGAGATGCCTGCCCTTGTCCACTTGTCGTTCCATTTGCGTTCGAAGAATTTACATGGCACGATTGCATCGTCTGATGGTGCGGTTGCAACGTTTTACTACATGCTTCCAAAGCTTTACAAAAATCTTCCACAGCCATCCCGCCTCCGCCAGAAACCCTGGTAGCTGACACCGCTTGGGTGTCACCGACCAAAAGACGATTATCCTTCCGCAAAGGCATATGACATACATAGTCACGAATTTCCTGTGCCATGGCACACTGTGGCTTCCCCGTAGGAAACACGCGCGTCCGAATGCCTTCGTCCAACTCCTGCGAATCCAACGGCAAATCTACGAGGTACTTGCCACAGGAGACACTCACCAAGTACTTCGTCACCAACGGCTTCTGACGACAGTATAACTCATACTGCTCCTTTGGTGTCAGACCGCGGTTGCAGGTGATCCATTTTGACATGACCACCAAGGTTGCTTTCGTTGCTTCCGATGCATTTCGTAATGACATCTTCGCAGCATGCTGACACAGCCTATACAACAACCGATCTGAATCCACGGCTGGATTGCCAATGTCCTGCCCCAGCTCATCGGTAAGATAGGACGGAAGCAAGGTAAAATCTTGCGTCGACGCTTTGCTGTTGTCTGCCTCCACAGGCCTTGCCTTCAGTGCCACGATCTCACGAAAGGTTGCCACTTGGGCATTGGACCACAATTCTTCCTGCAAGGCTCCTAGCCATGTTGCCGCTTGAGCAACACTAAAAGCTGCAACCTTTTCAAGCGAACGCTGCACTCCAAGCGCCTGCTTCTCCCTGACTTCTGCGTAGGAAGCCAGGGATGTGCAGCGTCCAGCTGCTTTTCAGCAGACATGTTTGAACTGCAAATGGCTGCAAAATGTACACTCATCTAGGCTGAAGCCACCAAAAAGTTGCAAAATCATACGTTTTCAAACCAAGGCTAAGTGCTGCCTAAGTTCCAGCTAAGTCCTATCCACTTAGCATACAACGTACTTATAAGTCACCTAAGTCAATAGTATGTGCCACCTAACTCAACATCACTTACAGCCCAGTTACTGTAGCCACTTATAATCAACTTACTAATCACTTAACCCACTTATAAAAAGACTTATAATGAAGTTATAAGTGCCTAAGTTCCCGGCGACTCCTAAGTAGGCTAAGCAAGAAATCCACGCGACGTGGCCAGAACGGTGAGATGCATGGAAACGAGAAAACCAGAAAACCAGAAAACCGAGAAAACCAGAAAACCGAGAAAACGAGAAAACCGAGAAAACCGAGAAAACCGAGAAAACGAGAAAACCGAGAAAACCGAGAAAACGAAAAAACCGAGAAAGCCAACAGTAGTGCTAATAGTCTCCTCGGCGTTTTCCTGTTCTCGCGGTTTTCGCGGTTTTCCCGTTTTCACGGTTTTCGCGTTTTCGCGGTTTTCGCGTTTTCGCGGCTTTCAATGCTCTCGCAGTTTTCGTGTTTTTTGCGTGTTTCGCGGTTTTCGTTTTTCACGGTTTTCGCAGTTTTCGCAGTTTTGGCGGTTTTCGCGATTTTCGCGTTTTCGCGGTTTTCACGGTTCTCGCAGTTTTCGCGATTTTCGTGGTTTTCGTGTTTCGCGGTTTTCGCAGTTTTCGCAGTTTTTGTTTTTTGGCTGCTTGCGCCGTTCTTGTTGTTTTCGCATTTCCGCCTTTCATTTTTTCCATGCCATATTATTTTCAAACAGAAATCTAAATAGAGAAGTGCCGGTTTCCTTGTCATAACAGTAGCCTTTGCAGACTTGCAAGCACACACACTTGCGAAGTCATGAAAGACGGTCTCTTCTCATGAATGCAAAGTCTGATTACCTCATGGTAGATTGAAGGCATCACTCGGCCATACTGAGTTAAAAAAGGCCAAGCTTATCCGTTGACATTTGAATGTCAGGTTGTTTAAAAAAGAAACCAATACGGCTCAATCAAAAGTGATCATGAAATGACTGAATGACGGCATGCAGGTTCTTGGGTTAGCCTGATCCCATAAAGTACTAACAGATACGAATATGACCACCAGCTATGACCCCAACATATTGGGTATGTCATCCAGGTGCATCATGCAGGTACGTTTTCACAACCTAAGGTGAGCGTCTTCATTGGCACAAGACTCACCAAAGGTCCTTGTGCCCCCTGCTATGAATTAAAATGCAACGGTATCCAAAATTTATGGTGGAAAGCAGTGGAAAACTAGTTGGTTGGAATCAGTCGCAAGAAAGTGAGGAACTCTTTGGTACAGAGCTTGACACACACAAAAAGGCACGAAGCCGGGCTGGTATTTCTTTAAAGGCGAGAGTGGAAGACATCATCAGTAGATAGGTGAGAAACCGCAGAGGAAAATTTGCAACCTCATCAGTGTGCTAGTAAATATTTTGCCGCAGCCAAAAGGTTAGGTATGCTTGAACTGCCTTCTGTACAGGACGCGTTGGCAGTCTGTTTTGGAGAACCCTTTCTGTACATACAGCTGAATGAGTTGGTTGAGATCATCACGGACAAATTGTTTGGGAAACGTGTATCTGCGAATTAAGGTTGCACGGGACTTTAGTCCGGACAAGCGGAGACGCATGCTGCCAGCAGAATGGAGATCACGAATTTTCCATAGTGGAGGTACTTGGTACCTTACGGTTCGTTGCACGACATCGATGGTGAACCCAAGGAGTGTACCATCTTCGACGGTTTCCAACTCCACCGGCGCTTGATAAAAGAAACAATCGGAAAGCACTCGCATGGGCAATGCGGAGCGAAATCGATGGTCAAACAAAATGAATCTGTTGTCCACATATCGTGTGAACAGAAGCTGGAGTTGGCTGGATTGAACAAAAGTTACATACGCATTTCTCCAGCTGCGCTCTATGAGCGTCACAGCCAAATTACTGAGAGAGGGAGAGATGTGTGATCCAATCCCTGCTCCACGATGCTGTACCCAAATTTGGTTGACAGCTTTAAACACGTGGGTACTTAAAGAAGCCTGGACAATTGTCAAAATATCTTGAACTCGAACGGTCTTGATATTGGATGATGTCTTCTTGCACTGTCCCACAAATGCAGTGTGGACAACTGGCCCTTTCAGAGCCATGTTGACCGAAACTTGTGTTTCACCATGTTGATTGACCCATTCCGTGGTCAATTGTTGAATCGCATCAAGTAAACGTGATTGAGGGACGCTGTTGAAAAATCCAACAAGATCATCGTTGATGGCAGCAAATTGAATATCGTCATCTGTATGAAAAAACCGTTGATGGATATGTTTCCAAATTGCAGGAACTGAAAGTTGGCCGGCTTCTTGCGGCCAAAGCATCACACACATCGTATCAAGAGTTCTGGCGGTGGCCTGCATGAGTTTACCATAGCGTGAGCCAAAATACGAAATCAATGTACGTCCTTTGTTGAACATCTTCTTTCTTTTCAGATGTACAAAGCCGTGAGGCAGTGTCGAGGATGTGTTAATCCCCCATCTGTATCGGTTTTGCAAGGACGGTGTCAAAGCAGTAGCAATGAGCTTTTGAGCATCTTCTTCATTTCCAGGAAAACGGGAAAACAATTCAGGATCATCCCATGTTCTGCAAGCAGACTCAAAATAGAAGGAAGGACAAAACAGGGTGATACGATGAATTTCATGATCAGCATGATGAATCACCACATTGGGTGGTAACCATTGAAGGAGGTGCTTGATGTTGTGGAAGGAAAATCTGGGATTAGTCTGCAGCTCCTTGGTGTGAGCGGTCCATTGTCGAAGAAGTTCGGCTTGAAGATCACGATGAGAAAACGGAGGGCAACCATGATATTTAGTCCAGTACTGCAATTGTTCATGCCAAATGTTCTGAAATTGTGCGAAGCTGGGAAAAAACGTAGAGGAGGCGTTGGCAGTCTCAAAGATGCGCAACTTGGAGGGTAAGTTCAACTCATGCATACCAACTGCAACATGTTGACGGAGACCAAAACAATGAATTGAAGGAACAAAATGTTTGATTTTTGCAATCAATTGAGAGCACGAACATCTCAACTGGGTCGGATCCTGTACAGGGTGCTTGTGCTCATAGTGCTTGTAATTGTGTAGAAAACCTGAGAGTGTCTGTGCTGCAGCTTCCCTCAGTTTTGAGGTTGGAAGATGCAACGGAATTGCAATTTCCTTGTACTGTAGGACATGATTACGTAAAAATCTTGAAACTTGTGCTGAAAAATCAGAGTGTGCCAAAAATGGCATAGTCGCTGGACGATTCAGTTTTGGTATCGTCATATTTCTGAACTTCATGGCTGATGCAAGAAGTTTCCTGGCTCGACCGCGCGCTGGCTGTTCTAAATGATTGCAAAGTCGGTACAACACATATATTTCCCAATCATCAAATTTCCCAGACCTGAGGGTTGTCGCTGTGTCAAAGGAGAGGCGGCCAGGACTTGTGAGCTCAAAAAGAATGTTCCAAGCTTGAGCTTGTTTGCAGTGAATGGAGGGAGGAACACCTTTGGTAATGAGTCGTCTGCGTAGTCTTTGAAACAATCTGGTTCCCTGTGGAATAGATGGAAATGTCTGAGAATGTTTCTTGTACTGAACCAGCCATCCTGATGCTTTCAGCGTCAAGATTTTGGTGATAAATGGATGGTTCAACGGTGGTTGCCATCTTGAAATCAGTAAATGTTCAAAAATCCAGGCTTCTTGATATGTAGAAAAAGAGGCAATTGGTATTGCCGTAAAATTGGAAAAATCCGAACGTCGAGACCAGTACTTAACAGCAAGTTCAACATGAACAGGAGTACCAGCTTTGGCCAGTCTGTACTTGGCCATTCTATTGAATTCCCGCTTGGCCATTCCAATGGATGTGGAGCCGATATAAAATCTGCCAGCTTGTTTGTAGGAAAGTGAAGTGGAGTTGGGAAGGTTAAACTGCATTTTAAGATAGGTGACAGCTGTACATTGAAAGAATACAAAAGTGTAACTCTCTGGATTAATACCAAGGTTCTGCAGTCTTCGCTGCCAAACCGCGGTATGATACGTGCGTGATCCAAAGTGGAAAAGACAAATGAGATGAAGCAAACCAAGGGCCCAAATTGCACAAGACTTGTTGACATCAGGGACAAAGTGCACGATCTCAATAAATACGGATCTCAAAACTGTGATGTAATCCAGAACGGCTTTCGGCCGATGTTTGGAAACATCCATAGCTAGTCAAGCTGTAAGAGCTGCTCCAACAGCAACTGCCTGTTGGAGACTTGTGATGCTGAGCTTGAGGACAGCACTTAAATTAAGGCCATATTGAGTGCTGGCCTGTTGCAACTGTTCCTTGGTGCATTTAGCAGCCTTTATGATGTCCATGATTTTCTTGGACATCTGCTGGGTTTCCAGGTTGAAATTCTGGGTCCACTTCTTTACATTGGCTGCAGGGGTTCCGGAAAGCTGATTCTCTCTGAGACTTGGGGCCTTCGGCTCCAAAATCTCCTGAATTGTGATTTCTGTCGGAGAGTGCGTGGCAGAGGTCTCATCTTTTGGCGACGCAGCTGCCTTATGGAACATAGGTGCCAGCTTTCTTTGCTTTGGCAGCGATTTCGGAGAAGCCCCTAATGCCTCGCTAGGTCTCTTCTTGTGAGAAGCAGAAACAACAGCAGGAGAAACAGGAACAACAGAACCAGCAGAACCAGGACCATCAGGATCATCAGTTGGCAATTTGGGATCAGGGGCAAGAGTGCCGGTGATACGCCGTGATCTCTGGGGTGTGTCCGGAATGCCTGCTTGTGCAAGCTTGGACTTGGCAGCTTGAAGCTTCGCTTCGGTCTCCTGGAGCCTTCGCATGGCTTCGGTATCCTGTTTTACAGGACACTGAGCCTTGAGTTTATCGGCTATGAA